GTGATGGTGGAAGCAGGCCCCAACCAGGCATGCCGCGGATCGAGCCCAGGTGATGACCAGGCGAGCTACTACATCCTGCGCGGGCCAGATCTGGCTGCAGACGAAGCAGAGTGCCGACAGCTCTGCATGGCCACGCCAGAATGCCAGGGCATCGACTTCAGCCCCGATGGATGCAAGGTTTGGACGCGCAAGGCTGGCATCCAGAGCTCAGCTGCATGGGGAGGTGCGACCTGCTTGCGCTATGATCCTTTTGAGCCCGTGGATGGAGGTGAAGGTCGTGCATGTCACGGCGACGTGAATGAGAGCTCGGAGGACTACGTCTTGTATGCTTCCGCTGATGTGCCCACGCTTGCGGACTGCAAGATCCAATGTGCCAGCACCACCGGCTGTAAAGGTGTGTCCTTCAGCATCGCAGGCTGTCAAGTTTGGACCCGGCAGGGCGGCATCACCAGCACTGCGTCTGCAGGCAGCAGCTGCTTCAGATACATGCCTTTTGCCCCAATGAATGGTGGAGAAGATCAAGCTTGTCGAGGCGCCCACTCACAGGACAATGACCCGAGCCACTACCTGTCCTTCTCAAGAGAGCAGGTGCCGTCCATCGAGTTGTGTCGGCTGCAATGCGCTGCTACCGAAGGCTGCACAGGCCTTGAGTTCGGAGCCTTGGGATGCAAGGTCTGGACCCGCTTCGAAGGCGTCCAAGCGACCGAGACGGTCCAAGGCTCTATCTGCCTGCGCTTCGGGCCCCCGAACGAATTGGTTGATGCCAGTGCTTTTAAGCCAGTGGACGGGGGCATCGACAGAGCCTGTCGTGGCAGCAATGAAACTGACAACCTCGATGCCTATTACACGCTTTTCTGGACCTGGCCAGAAAACTCCTCAATGGAGGCGTGCAAGGACAGGTGTGCTCGAAGCTCAGTTTCTCTGTAGCCCACATCTCTTGTGTGCAGTTTGTGCTTGCTGCAGGGAGGGAGCTTGAATTGAACCTTCAAGAGCACCTATTGGTCCTCGCCTCTCTTCCTTGGTGACCCCTTAACTCAGGTGCGAACTCCAAGCTGCAGGGGTCTTGAGTTTCGGATGGGCGGATGTGAGATCTGGACCCTGGCAGCTGGAATTGGAGCGACAGTGGCATCTCCTGGCAGGACTTGCCTGGCTTACAAGCCCTTCCGGACCTTGGATGGCTTCAGTGGACGAGTCTGCCGCGGCAGTTCGCCAACAGACAGCCTCAGCAGCTACTACACATTGACAGGCCCTGATGTTACGCCGACCCTGGATGCTTGTCAGAATCTGTGCATGGCCACTCCTGCATGCAAAGGTGTTGAGTACAGAAACGGCTGGTGTGAAGTCTGGAGACGTCCAGAAGGCATCATGGCCATCGCCGTTTCTCCTGGTGCTGACTGCTTGCGGTACGAGCCTTTCACGGAGGTGGATGGTGGGGTGAACAGAGCCTGCAGAGGAGCAGACGTCGGGGACAACTGGGGCAGCCACTACACCATTTTGTCCGAGAGCACGCTGGACGGATGCAAAGAAGCCTGTCTAAGTCGCTGGAATTGCAAGGGCATCGAATATCGAAAGGGCCGCTGCGAGGTATGGACCCGTCCTGCAGGCATCCAGGCCTCTGTTGCGAGTGCCGGTGCAGTTTGTCTGCGGCTCGGAGGCAGCGACGACTTGACAACGGATGCCTTCCTGTCCTTCCAGGGAAGTGTGAACCGGGCTTGCCGCGGCTCGGATCCCTCAGACGATCAGCTGAGCTACTACGATTGGCACGGTTCTTTGGCCGTCCAAAGCCTGGAGCAGTGCAAGCTGAAATGCCTTTCGACAGCAGCTTGCAGAGGCATCGACTTCAGCGAAGAGGGATGCAAAGTCTGGACACGTGAGGTTCAGAGCAGCGTCGAGCGAGCAGGCTCCACTTGCTTCCTCTACGAGCCTTTCCAGCCAGTTGATGGAGGGGAGGATCGTGACTGTCGTGGTGCTCACAGCACGGACATCTCTCCGGCCTATTTCACCGAAAACCCGGAAGCCTCATCTCTCCTTGACTGCAAGCTGCAATGTGTCGCCGCAGGCTGCAAGGGCCTCGCCTACAACAGCACAAGCCAAGTTTGTCAAATCTGGGCCACCAACGTCCGAGCTTCGACGGCTGCTTCCGGAAGTATTTGCCTGCGCTTCGAGCCTTTCGTGGATGTGAACGGAGGCCGCGACCAGTCCTGCCGAGGAGGACACGTTTTTGACAACTCTGGCTTCTACTACAGGTCGTACACGCTGGCCCAGGTGTCCACCTTGGAAAGCTGCAGGGTCCAGTGTGTTGGCACAAACGGCTGCAAAGGCATTGACTGGAGTGCAAGCGGCTGCAAAGTTTGGTTGAGAGTGCAAGGTATCGAGGCCACGGCGGCAGAGCCAGGTTCCATCTGCGTCCGCTATGGCGTGCCTGATCCCTTGCGGTCCGCAGACGCCTTCCCGGGCATGGATGGTGGAATCAATCGTGCCTGCAGAGGTGTCGACGAGAGCGACAATGATCCCCTGAACTGGATCTTCTTCCCCATCTCCCAGGCCAGGGCCCCGGCTTTCTTTAGGGTCTTCGAGTTGTCTGTGCTCCAGGTGAGGACCTTGGAAGCCTGTCAGTTGCGATGCATCTTCAAGCCCGGCTGCTTTGGGGTGGAGTTCAATCTCTGGGGCTGCGAAGTCTGGATGCGAGAAATCCAGGCTTCCGTTTATGCATCGGGCTACCAGTGCTTTCGCTTCACGCCCTTCGTTTCGGCAGATGGCTTCGACCCTTGGACATCTTAGTCCGGAGTCGTAAAGAATCTGATCTGAATGCAAAAAAAGCTTCCCAAAGCCGCTAAAGCTGAGAACGATCGGGCCTGCCGCGGGCAAGATGCATCCGACAACTTGGGGTCTTACCTCACCTTCTACGGACGATCAGGCGAGGGGGCCGCCTACGACGGACGCTCGGTGTTGCAGCTCACTTCGAGACAGAACAGGGCCCTGCATCCCGCATCCCTGGTGCCCCTAGGGTTAGTGCTCACAGCGACTCGGCCAAAAGTTGAGTTGTCAAGCTGTAAGGACAGAGGTCGACCTGCGAGCAGCTGCCAGGGGCTGAGTCTCAGAGATCTGGCGACGATTCAAAGGCCCTAAGCGGCCGACTCTCACAGAGAGATTCCTTCCCTTCCTTTTTTGGCTGAGGTGCGCCTCCACCTCGGGGTGCAAGGGCATCGAATTCAGCTCCGGCCACTGTGAGGTCTGGACTCGCGAGGCTGGGATCCAGGCAACGGTGCCTCGACTCGGCTTTGGGAGAAGCGAAAGCTCCTCGGGCCCTCGGGAAGGCTGCGTGTCTCTCCGTCTGAGGCTCCGGCACTGGGGTCTTCCTGCCTGCGCACCTCGGAGAAGCTAAGAAGAGAAGACCAGGACTAGACCAGTTCAGGCAGAGCGGGCGGGGGCGGCATAAGCTTTGTTTTTTATGGGCAGCAGCTTGGTCCGGGAGCGGTCGCCGAGGCTTCGAGCCTTTCTCGAACGTGGAGGGTGGGGTGGATCGAGCCTGCCGCGGAGAAGATCCCTTCGATAACTGGCCGAGTCCCCTTCCGGCATGAGTAGCTTAGACACTGCATCGACAGCGCACCATGCACTGGGGTCTAGGGCCTAGGGTTTGGCCTCTGCTGTTTGTGTGAGCAGTTGAGCCAGTTTTCAGGGCTCGCCTGCTTTCTTTTCTGTTCTCTCTCTCTCTCTGCTTCTCTCGCTCTCTCTCTCTCGCTCTCTCGTTGCTCTCCCTGCAGCCGCTTCTTCTCCGAGGTTACTACACGCTGACCAGCGCGAGCTCCGTCCAGGCCCGGCTCTCCCCCGACCTCCGTGCTTCTTGGCCCCCCCCCCCGTCCCCCCCCGTCGCTTTCTGATTCGAGAGGATTGCAAGCAGCTCTGCATGGGCACAGCTGGCTGCCATGGCATCGAGTACAGCAGCTCTGGTCGATGCGAGCTGTGGACTCGTGTGGCTTCCGCTGCACCTGAGAGCAGTAGGGGCTGTCACAAGTGGTCACGAGTGGTCACGGGTGTAGGCCAGCGCTATAGCTTTCTTCTCAGGCGAGGGGGATCGGAAGCTCCTCGGCGGCCGTCGGATACGTGTGCATGCGCTACGGCTCTTGGGACCCATCCGACGTTTTGGACGGCTTCCTGCCGGCAGATGGGGCTTTTGATCGAGCCTGCCGCGGCATGAACCGGACAGACATGAACCCCGAGTATTACGTGTTCTACGCATTGGACATTGCCCCGAACTTGGGTGCCTGCAAGGCCATCTGCACGGTCACACCTGGTTGCAAGGGCGTGGAGTTCAGCAGCTTTGGATGCGAGGTTTGGACACGGGCCGAGGGGATCGAAGCCACGGCTGCAGTGTCTGGCTTCCAGTGCTACCGCTATGTTGCCTTCGAGCCCGTGGATGGTGGCCTAGACCGAGCGTGTCGGGGTGCCGATACCTCGGACGCCGCTTCGGCGAACTTCGTGTTGTGCCCGCCCTCGGAGGTGGCGTCCTTGGAGCAGTGCCAGGCGCGCTGCGTGGAGAGGCCCGGCTGCCGCGGCGTCTCCTACTCGGCGGAGGGCTGCGAGCTTTGGACGAGGCCTTTCGGTATCGAGGCCACGGTTCCCAAGGTGGGTTCCAGTTGCTTCCGGCACGAGCCTTTCACCGATGCAGACGGAGGAAAGGATCGCGCTTGCCGCGGCGCACAGCCCTGGGATAACTCAACGGAGCACTACAGGGAGGCAACGCTTCCGATACCGACGCTGGGAGCTTGCAAGGTGGCCTGCGTCAACTCTCCGGGTTGCAAAGGCGCCTGGCTCTTCAAGAAAGGATCTTCTCAGTCTTCAGGGCATGTTGAGTATAGTGATGAGTAGTGGGTAGTGATTCTGAATGTTCTTCAAGGGTATCTGTTGGAGAGGCGAGTCCTCGAAGGGCTATAGGGGCCTGCAGTTTTTGGGAGCCCGCAAGGCATCGAATTCCAGCCCAACGGGAAGTGTCTGATTTGGACCCGCCCGGGTGGAATCGATGCGACGGCCACTTCCTTCGGCTCCATCTGCCTCCGACACGGCGCCACCCAAGCTGGGGCCAGCGAAGAAGGAGAGTTAGAGAGTGTGTCCCCCCCCCCTTTTCCCGAGAGTCCGCTTCCTTCATCAGATTCTTTGACTGTTGCGGAGAGGAAGCTTGGTGGGCCAGATTCACCTAGCGTCGGATCCGCGCCTTTGCCTGGACGTCGGTGGCTTCAACAACGGAGATGCTGTCCAAGTGGGGCAGTGCACGTCCTCGACTCGATTCGTAATGAACAGCGACGACACCGCTCAGATTCGGTTGGCATCGGATCTGACGAAGTGCCTGGACGTGGCCGGTGGAGTGAAAAGCCACTTGGCCGCACACTTTCCCTTAAGCAGGCAGTTCTGCGACACTTACTCTCGAGCGAGAATCGTGTTGCAGGCAACGGCACGCGGATTCAGATCTGGGACTGTGAAACTCCAGCCGCTCAGCTTTGCAGTTCATGCAATGAGTCGCATGGTCAATGTAAGGGTACTCGTATGTGTGCAAACAAGGTCAATGGCAATATGCAGTTTCTGTTTCCGAATGGCGGCGTCGGACAGATCAGGCGATGGCTGATGTCAGTTCTTGCCAATTCTATGCGCCTTGCTGCCTTCCTTGCCCCCCTCCCAGGTGGGCCACGTACTTGGACATGTGCCTGCAGCCCATGGGCAACACGACCGGAAGCCAGGTCATTCTCTGGAATTGCAGGCGCAGATTGCTTGTGTTCTGCTTGCGTTTCGTCTTGCCCAGTAGAAGCGAAGCTTTACCGAGGCGGGCTTCTGGCAACTCACGCGTGGTGCTGCCCAGTGGCGAGCTGCGCACCGTTCGCACGCCGATGCGCGGCCGCATCATGAGGGAGCAGGCTCGTTTGTGTACGGCTCCTTGCAATCCAAGGAAGTTTGTTGCCCACTACCTACCATGGTTCCTGGGCAACAATGTGGACGAAGCCTGTACGAGAAGCGGACCCAGCTGTCCTTACGCGCATGACCATTGGTGTTCAACATATGGTAACTCTTACTACGCCAGTTACCTGGGCGCCTATGACATAACTGGTCCGAACGTGATTGAGACGCAGTTGGATCTGATGAAAGCCTCTGGCTTGGATGGGTTGTGGATTGACTATCAAATGCCCACTTGGGATGGCGTTGTGGACAGGATCGTGGCTGGCTTGAAGACGAGGGGAATGGGCTTTGCTATCATGGTCGATTCTGCTACTTTCCCTGACGTCATGGCAACCACGGCGGAGAAGGTGACGAACTGGACCATGGAGCCTCACTACTATCGCCACCAGGGCTTGCCCATCATACCAGTTTGGAACAACAACTTCACAATTTTCTCTCCACTCCCTGTGAATGCCATCTACATCACTCGCTATGAGTTCGATCCTCCCGAGTGGGCATCTGACACATATACATGGGTTCAGGATGACTACCTCGTCAGGCACCGTGGGCGAAAAGCAGAGACATGTGACTGTGACGCTTAGGATGGACGGAAGTGGCAGAAGTCTCATCTGACAGCCCGCTTAGTCTTTTCCGTACTTGCAGGTATTACGAACAGCACCATGCCGTCGTCTCCTCTGGTTCAGCTTTCCGCGGCTACCGTGATTGCTATTTCGACAAGACCCTCAAGGACGCAGGTGTGAAACAGAGCTGCTTCCTTGATGCTCTTTCTGAACATGCACGAACAGTGGCATGAATGTCGCTTCCCCGAAGCCAACGTGTAGTGAATGCAGGCAACTCGAATTTCAGATTTTGCTTCCGTAGTTTCGTGGCGAGCGTGCTGTATTTTTTCTGCTTCCGCCTTCCATGAGTACCAAACCAAGACTGACACTGCTTCCACGGAACTCCTGCTGCGGTCTGGTGCTCGTTGTTCCTTCTGCTTGAGGTTTGCCCGTGTCCTGATTCTCTACGTCCTCCGGCAGTGAACTCCACATTTTGCTCACAACACAGTTTAGATCAGTTTTAGCATTCAACATACTGGATACAATCTCGCTACCACCTGCTTGGTACCTTTTTGCTGGTTTCGGGTCAGTGAGCGTTGTCAGGATCCGAATGTCACTCAGTTGGAGATCACGTTGAACAGAGCAAGGCCAGGTGTGTTCACATCTACGGCGTTCTTATGCAGCTCAGACCTCTTCTGCGAGGCAACATCGGCCGGAGTATGTTCAGTTGGTAACTTGGAACGAGCCACAGCTGAATAGTCTGAGCTCCGGTGAAGGCTTGGCATGTTCTCTTCACTGGAATCTCTGGTCCAAGGATTACACCGAAGGCACACAGCTGGAGCCCAGCTGGATACGCAGAGAGGGTGAGTGCGTTGACGTTTGCGGAGAGCCGCTTGCAAGCATGTGAGACACAGTGCGGCGGTGCTAGCTGATAGCAGGGTCGCGATGCTTTCAGTATCAGAACCACCGGAGTGCCAAGGAATTGCTTAACGGTCAGCGATTGTCATTCCAACGGCTTGTTGACCGACTGCATGAAGCCTGTGGGTGCTGCTACGGGCCCTGCAGACCCCTCCTGCAATGTGACGGGCAACCTGAGCGCTTTCGTGCCTGGGCACGAGCTAGGAAGCAACCGTGACTTTGCGTTACGGGTGAGGCCATCACTCCCGCAGTTCTGAGGCGGACCTCAACCAGGTCGCCGCCTTCATTGCGCGTGAGCGGTATATAGGCCAGGTCTTGGCCCAGGCGGCTCGCTACGTGCCCTGAGCGCTCCGGGCGGAGAGCCAGGCCTGTGGTTTTCCCTTCAAGAAAGGCCGGCGCCAGGAGGCTGGCGAAGCCCCTGAGCGCCTATAGTTACTCTTAGTTGATCAGGGCCACGCTTCCGAACATCTCGCTCGAATCACGAGCGAGAGATTCGCCATGCTGAGCCAAGCTTTGGGGGTGAGAAGTGAGGAGTGTTCTTGTCTCGAGCATTTCTGATTGCAGACAAGTCCGTCAAGAGCGGCATACACTTGGCTCCTCCGTTTCCACCATATGCCAATGCATCCTATTATCTTCGCCAAGGGCGAGGATTGCGTGCGACTGCCAGCCACAAGCTGCTGAAGGCCACAAGGTGCGCCGTTTCACTTGTCGACGTGCAGCACGTCGAGTGTCTAGAGTCAAGGCGTCTTTCAATGGACGTGCGCGTACAGAACATGGACACTACAGCGCACTTCCAGCCCGGAAGATTGTACAGCACGTTGTACAGAACTTCATAGATTTTCCCCCCTCCTGGTGCGTTTGATTTGCATTTGCGCCGCTCAAGGTTCACCAAGCAACGCGGCGGTGCAATGCATTCTTCGCAGACAGCTTTCAGCGACGCGGCGAGGTGGCTCTGAATGATTGTGCTGCTTCTCAAGCAGGTCAAAGATGTGAGTATGCCAGCACCCCAACTGCGTGTGCTACTCTATCATGTTTGCAGTAGAAGTAGCTGTCTTTTTCGTCGTCAGTGTGCTAGACCTCCTATCTTCATGCCGCCGCAGCCAGGCCGGCGTATGATCTATATCCCCAAGATCATCAGATCAGCCCCGGACTTGCCCTCAACCCTGCAGTGAAGTGAAAGGAGTAAGGTGACGATGATTTTTTCTGGGTGGGTGATGACGAGGAAGCACAGTCCGTCTGGGCAAGGTTGCAAGGTTTAAAAAAAGGTGCTCGCCGCGGCCGTTTCGCCCCCGGTATGTTCGGACTCAAAAGCAAAGGCGCATCTCATCGCATCTCATCGCAACTTGCAGCCGCCGAACATCCAAGCACAGTCTTGGTCAGTTGACTCTTGAACGGCTTGTCATGCCCCAAAGCCTTGCCTTTGGAGCCTTCGAGTTGGGATGTGGCTCGTACATGGCCCGCGTGCTGGAGCTATGATGCCGAACGCTCGACCAGAAGGACTTTCGTTGGAAGTGGGCGAGGGCGTCTGTTTGAAGCCTGGGAGGTGTGGCATGCGCATGGAACAGATGTGATGGAAACGGTTCTGTTCGTGTATACCGACAGCAGCCGCCGACGCTTATGGGAGCCCATCACAATCATACCTTCCAACGCCACGGACCTTGTGTGGATCACGCATTCCGTCAACTTATGCGGACCGTGCGTGGATCATAGCAAGGCGGCCTCTGGATCACATTTCGATCACCAACCCAGGGTCAAAGATCACACGTCGATCACAAAGATTGGCCCAGGGATCACAGTTCGATCATAAGGGGGCCCATGATCGCGCTTCATCGCGGATCCAAACCCCCCCCCCGACACATAAACATGTATTGGATGATTTCTAGAGCATCAGGGACACGTTCGACTGAGCTTTTGCGCGGCAACCTTCTGTCCGCAGCGTTGGCTATGAGACATGACATGGAAGGCTTGGGCAAGAAATCCCATTAATCATTTTCTTAGAACTGCTGTAGTTGGGCTGCCACTGTGCACGGTAGTAACGATGGGGTTAAGGTTGGATTTCACATATTCTTATGCGCAGACTTGAGTTATGGGTCATAGGTGACTGGCCATGGCTTTGCGGTTGGATGTGGCAACGATGTCGCCGCCAGGCGGGTTCTTGGGGCCCATGCAGTGGGTTTGAGTACGAAAGCTCGGACCTGTAAGAGCCCTACGCTCAACGATCCTTCCGACAGGAGTTACGAGCACAAAGCAATAATGCAGTCTCAGGGGTGTGCTGCCGGAGGCATCCCTTGCGCACGCGTTTCTCGTCTTCCAGGACAGATGCACTGCAACAGATCTTTCATGCAATAAAGATTGCGAGAACGATGAGCACAAGGACAATGATAAGCGTAGGGATGATGGGAAATGCCATGATGTCAGGGTGTGATGGCCAATATTGTGATTCAGATGGTGGTGGTCGTGAAGGTCAAGGTCATTATTACGACCGCGATCGTCGTTGTTAAGAAAGTCGTCAACAGGGCGACGGCGATGGTGAGATGGGTGCGGATGGTGGGGAGGATGATTGCGAATGTACTGAACTCATGTAGGCGCAGCGGAAACTTAGCCTGCGCACCAGCATCATTGACAACTCACTCCGTGTGGGCTGTGGACAGTTGGAGCATTCATTGGCACTCCAGTGGCCACAGTGCACCGTGATGAGCATCACGGTGTCTCTTCCAGCCCGGCCAAGCCCGCATGTTGTAAGGCTTATCGGAGTGGTGTTGTTCATAGTGTTGAATCAGCAGTATCATGGCGATAACCATGATGAGAGTAGTGAGATGAAGTGCACAGCATGGCATGGGATTGCCAATAATTGTAGCATCAATGGCGGTGATTCCCGTCTCTGTGATGACATTCCACAGTGGTACTCGTAATGTTGAGAGAGCCATGATTCTCGATCCCACTCTCGAGACTGTTTCTGTGCAGGACTTCCCGCCAGATGGGCCCACGAGAACCCGCAGGTGCACTGTAAGAATGCTTGGGCCACCCATGAAGGGATTTGCGAGTCTCGTTTTGTTGGTTCATGCAGGGATATGGCTTGTCGATCCCGATTTGCAGAGGAAGCCATGAGATAGAGACACGGAGCCCGTTCATTCATAGCCTTCTTGCAAAACGTACATCTCGCTTGAATTGTGCCTGTCCACAGCGTTGTGGTTTGATGCTCCATTCTAACCGGGAGAGACTCGTCCGCTCTTCTCGGCGTCTCCTCCGAAATCGCGCAAGGCCAAGGCCAGAGTTTACGCCTTGATGCCATCTGCCATCTTCACGGCCATGGTCCAAGAAGAGCTGGCAGCTCCGTGTGACGCAAGATTGAAAGGCAGCTAAGCAAACTGCTAGATGAGTTGCCGTTCATCTTCGCAGAACGTGCAGTTTTGAGGATCTGCGTGCTGAGGTGGCTGGTCTGGCCGGCAAGTGGAGGCTTCTTAGCAGTCTTCGGGGTTCACCATGAAGTGACACTGTCATTCACAAAGCATTGCGCCTGCGAGCCTGGAAGAGCTTCACATGTGCGTCCAGAAGCACCTCACCACTAAGATGCTTCCCCAGAGAGGAATGAGAAATGGGGGACCCCAGCAAAGAGGAAATAGGATTCTGATTTGAAGATGCGTTCAGACTCAGGAACACATGTATTCAGTGAGATGGGGGCTTCTTAAAGTCCTTCGGAGGCTGGAGCGACAGCTCCAGAGTTTTCGCCGGAGCCGCGGGGGCGAAGCAGAGGGCGGGACCCGGCGAGAGGCCTCTTCGCCCGGCGAGGCCCCGCGGTCTCCGGAAAGGTGCAAGGTCCTTTTGTCACGCCCCGTTTGGCGAATTTGCACCTCCGATGATGCTGTTCTGCTTCGTTTCTCCTTTTCGAGTCGGTTCGAGTTCTACCTGATGACTCTCGTGTTTTGGGTGATGGTGGCACCGGCAGTGGTAGTTGCTGTCGTTGTCGCTGATGATGATGGTAATGATGGTGATGATGGCGACGTCTTTCCCCGGTCCCCCGGTGGCTCGCGGGCGTCGGCTGTAAATGAACCTTGCATTGCCGACTCATGGACGAGCTGAATTCCGAAACCCTCGCCGCTTCGTGGACGTGCAGGCCTCCGACGACGGCGACTTCCTGGCGGGATTCCGGGCGGCTCTTGGCAGTGCCTTGGCGGTTCCCAAGTGCTGAAGTGCCGTGTGAGAGCCGCTTGGAGCCGTGAGCCTTCGAACCAGGCAAAGAAGAATCGCTGGAGCAGGAGTGAGATTCCGCTGCACTTGTGCCTCTTTGGCTTCAGACAAGATGTCGTCAAAGCGATTCGCCCCATGTTGAGTCCTTGCGGGAGGGACTGCTAGTGGAGGAGCTACAAGCAGTCCGTGAGCAACTGTCCAATGCGGAGAAGCGCATCTCCGAGGCCGCGACATGCCGTAAGGGGTCCCCCTAGTACTTACTCCCGAGAAGCCGCCGGAACCCCTTTTTTTTGCAGAGGTGGAGACGGCAAAGGAGACCCTCATCGATCAGCTGCATCAAGCCCGGGAGGAGGTTGCGGGGTAGAGTGGAACTTTCTGAGACAATCTTGAAGTGCACTGGTCTGACTCCTCAAAATCTTGCTGCGTTGAATGAACGACTTTGAATTTCCTGGAGCTTGCTCATTCACGGGCGAGTGGTCTTCCATGAGTCAGTTTGCCTCTCGGCCGCTTGAGTGCTTTTGATTTGGAAATCACCCTAAACCTCATATGGAGCTCCAGCTCCGTAAAGCCCATAGACGTGTCTGCTCTCTGCTTCGCCGGCAATTGTGGGCTTGGGATGTGGGGGTGGGGTAGGTCATGACAGCCATTGATAGCGCCACAGGAGAAGAATCAAGGCCGCGTTTCATGAGACTGCCAATCTTTGCTTGGTGGAAGCCCTTGTGCTAGTAGTTTCAATCCGTTTACCCTGAGGCCTTCATTCCAACTCGGAAGCGTCGACGAAACTCATAAACCTTAAACCTTGAGCCCTGCCACGCTGCCCTGTGGCAATGCCTCGGCCAACCATGCCAGCGGGACAGCGGCTGCGGGCAGCATTGAAGCCGCCCGAGGTGCGGTGCTTGGGATCGAAATCTTGGGGGATCTTGGTCTTATCCGTCCCGTTTGCGCCGAGGAATCCAATTTGTTTAGCTCTTTCACCTTGGCACTTGGCACCCTGGAAGCTGTCAGAGTGCGGCATAGCTGTAAGTAGAGTTCCGTGCTAGCTGCTAGAGTCTAGAGCGCATGCTTGAGCAATGTTCCCCCTCAGAAGCCTTTCTTGCCGTTGCTGCTGTACATCTTTCCGCGGAACGAGGATGTATCAACAAGTCCGGCACCGAGCTTCTTTCCTTCCCAAAGCAGAGAAAGCCATCGCAGGTAGGGACACTCCGTGCCGAGCGCCGTGCCATTATTCGACCACGCGAGGAGGTTGAGGAGCCTGTCGTCAGGGGCTTGGATGACAGGCTTGGTACCATACCCGGCGAAAGTTTGTGGCCACCACTACCAAATACAACGCCGGAGTATCTTCAAGTAGTGTTGAAGCCGGTCATATGCCAGCTGGGCCTCGTTTCAAGCCATCAGATGTGTGCAGCAAGGAGCCGACACGGAAACGAACAGCCGAGGCCCTCTCAAGGAGTTTGTGTCTTGTGATTTCTTAGGGTCAAGGCTCGCAGTCGCTCGCAGTTCTGTAGTCTACTTGGCAGCGCGGCCTAGTTCCAGCTTTGCAGCGTCAGCGCTTGGCAGTTGCGGCCGGCCGCGGGGAACGACGGCGACTCGGGGGATCCGACCGAGGAAGACGTGTTACTACAGGAAGGCATCGGGGAACCCCCCAAAGAAGCACTCGGAGGGAGCATGCAGGCTTTGATGGGGATCTCAGAAGTGTTGAGTTTCCTCAGGCACCCTGAAGCCTCCCTGTCGGCTTTCCGTTTCAGGCTGCCGGTGCCTCCGAAGGCATGGGAGATGTACGTGCCAAGAGGATCAGGACAGGAAAAGCGAGAAGCATAACACTCTTCAGATCAGAGCCTCTTCGAGTTGTTTTTTATGAGGCTGATTCCCGTGAGGGGAACCGGAAGTGGCTTGAGACCAGTAACTGCTTCCGGCTGCTTCCCAGCACCACATGTCCATAGGACCGTGATATGACAGACTGATGACTTTTCCCTTAACTTTCAAAGCAGGAGTGGTTGGACTCCAAGCGAAAGCGGCCTGCGAAGTACACACCGCCTCATGCCAGGCCACGGGGCACTTGGTAGTGGCTGGAGCTCTGCTCTTTTCCATCTTTTGAGCCTGGTTTAAAGGCGCGCGGTGCTGCAGCCCGCCGCGGAGCCCCCCGAAGCCGAGCCTTCGAAGTGCAGCTGCCTTCGCCGCCACGGCCGCTGCACCTGCCAGGCGGGCGGGGGGGACGCAGCCCTCCTGGTTCATTGCAAGGTCCAAGAAACTGAAGCACGAGACGTTTGTTTAGTTCTATGCAGCATGAGATCATGTTCTCGTCTGCGGTATTCCAAGTTCAAAGCGAGAGCTACGCGAGAGCTTGACCAGTGATATGACTTGGCCACGCCCCTCGAGCACTGATGCCCCCTCCGCCGTATCAGGCGGATGACCGTTGGCTTCAGAAGAAGCGGCGCTGCCTCGCTCCCTACGTACCACCCTTCCGGCTGCTGGGACAAGGTTTAGGCGTTACCTGTTTGGGCTCTCTTTGGGATCTCTTTTTTGCTCTCCTGGATCAGGAAAACTCGCGAGAGCGAGCTCGAGAGGAAGCGCCAGGAAATCGCAGCCAAAGCCGAGGCCAGGGCCCCGGCCACCCGAGAATGTCCAAGTTCTTTCCTCTTCCGCTTTAGGACTTTAGGACGACTGTCTCTGCGTGTCTTGCTACAGTGACGGATGCAAGTTCTCGTTTGCAAAAATGCGAGCTTGCACGCGCGGAAGCATGCGGCCTTCCAGGAAGGCGAGCCGCCTCCTCCCCTGGCGCCCAACATGCGAACCCTGGCGCGGCGCTGGGCGCCGCAGCTCGAGCCACGTGGCACCGAAGGTTCGACCCGCGGTGGTGGAGACAGCAAGAAGCCCAGGAACATCGGGCGCTTCCGGTTCAACCCACTGCAGATCGAGGGCAGCATCTTGCTGGACGAACCTGGAACTGAGGCCTCCGCGAAGTTTGGGGTTTGGGATGTTGAACGGGTCGAGGCTGCTCTTCACCCCTCCAAGCTTGACGCTCCTTTCTGCGAGGCCGAATGTACAGAGTCGGCCTTCAGATGCCAAGGGCTGAAAGCTTTGCCAGTGGTGCAGTCCGGGAGCTACCAGTTCGAGGCCCGGCGTTTCAGCCCGATCTTCGAGCGATTCCCCTGTGGGGCTGTAGGTGGAGCTGCTGCGCAGCTGCCAGCTTGCGGTGGGCTGGAGCGGTGCCATGTCCCTGGCCACGGCGTGGGATCACCAGGACCGGGTGGGTACACCCCCGTTGAGCAGCAGCAGCTCCTGTCGAATTTGGCTCGCGAGCGCGAAAGGCTTTCGGCTACTCCTCCGATGCGCGTGCCATCCACAATGGCGAGGCTGAACCCCCGGGGGCCGTGGCAGGTGAGAGGCTTCCAGCCAAAGAAGCCAGCAAAGCAAGGCTAGAGTCGGCAGAGCAGGAGGCAAGGGCCAATTGCTAATCGGGCTCGCTACAGGTGCCCTTTTCAACAGAGAACATGACCTCTGATGCAAGGCAGAAGACTTTGGACTCCCTTTCGGGCAGGCCGGACAGTAAAATGAGTTGAGCAATTCTGGAAGTCGTCCACACTGCTTAGCGGAGCGTGGTCTTTGCACCGCTTGTGCGAGGCCGGAGACATAGTTGGAGCCACCGTGCGATGGGCCCCTCGGATTAACCCTGAGTGATTGCCCGAAAAGCAAAAAAATGTGTGGCCCAGACCCTCGAAGTGCGCCGAGGCGAAAGGCTGTCAGGTGGCGATCTCCTTCGCCCTGAACGGGCGAGATCTGGGTGCGGCTCTCAGGACTTCTAGGTTTTCGCATTTTCGCTGTTCGTGGTTTGGGGGAAGTCCTCTTCCGGGGCGAACTCCGTCTAAGAGGCATGCCGCCACCGTATGGGGACACCACAGGCTGCGGCAGCGGGTGGCCTCCTTGCACCCTTCCGGGCCGCACCAGTGTAGATGAAGGGACCGCTCTGTATCGAAGCTCTGGCAGCATGTCCAGACAGCAACTCCTCTGCTACCCTAGAATCGGCTGAGAAATTGATCTGCATCCGAAGCAGGCTAGTTCTGGTATACAGTGTTGCAGCACCGGGCTCGGATCCAAGGCCCCAAAGCAATCATCCAATCCGGCCAAGGCGTGGCTTTCGAGTTTGGAAGCGAGGCCTGGGGGCCGCGGATTTTGCAATGCTGCCGTCTCACACGCAAACTGGTTTAGGGTTAAGGGTTTAGGGTAACCGTGTCCATGTCGAGCACAGAATCCAGAGGCATTTTTTCGCCGTTGTGGTCGTCAGCGCATGGTGTACACGCGTTGCCGCGTTGCGCTGCAGGAACCCCCATGCAAGGAAGGCCAGGATTTGCTTCCCCCATCCATTGCAAAACACATCCCAAAAGATCCCGAAAGCCTCTTCCGCTTTGGCTCCTCGGCTCGGGCACAAGTGGCAGTGTCATCGCACCCTGGCGCTCTGGCACTGCCAGCCTTCACTTGATTACAGGAGTGGGGCGGTGCCGGGTAGCTTAAGCTCTTGGCTTCGGAAGTCTGTTGAATCTTGCGGCTGGTGCTTGTGTAGAAGCTTCGGCGAAGACTTCCCGCTGTTGTGTTGTTACGCCGGGTTTGCACCGGTAGCTTTGGGAGGAGGGGCTCCTCTTAATGACAAGGGGGTTGAATAGTGGCTTTGGACATGCAAGTTGAAGCTGTTGAGCCAACACCACCAGCCAATGCCGACAGGGTCTTCGTGGACACAGGGGGGGCTCTCAAAGAGTCCTATTGTCAGTTCTTCACGACCTCCCCTTGCAGGATATCCATTCTTCACGCTTTGTGCGCTGGCGAGTTCCTCCCAGGAGGCGAGTTTCGGACCGGACGGAGATCGAGGGCTACTTTGTAGTTCTTCAGCTTGCAGGATTCAGTCACTAGGTTAAAGGAGCACGGCTGTTGCTGGCATCTTTGACGAAGGTTTTCGGCAGAAAAGGGTTGAGTACATCGGATACGTCGGCAGCATTTTTCCAACTGCAGCCGACAATCCTCCAGTAGGTAGATGACCTGCTCTTTCCGCGAGTTTATCGAGTTGTGGGGTGCTCGAATGTAATTTCAGGCAACCTATCGCTGGTACGTGGTGATGCTATTGGATCGGGGCTCGAAGGAGATGTTGCGACAGCCGCGAGTGAAGCACGGCTATCAGCTCCATCAGCCCTAAACGTTTCCTCCTTTCCAAGCGCCAAGGCCCCAAGCCAAAAGAACCGATCGAAGCTCCTTGGCACCTTTGACCTGCCCTGACGGGCCGACCCCGAGCTCTGAGGCATAGGCATCAAAAAAAAATTGATAAGGATCAAAAAAAATTTACCTAAGGATCAAAAACAATTTGACAAGGATCAAAAACAACATTGCCCTCTGCGCCCAAGGCCTCGCCTGGTGCTCGAGTCCTGACAGGCTCCGGTCCTCCGGTCCGGTGGTCCGTGGTCCTGCGGTCCTCTGGTCCCCTGGTCCCGTGGTCCTTTGGTCCCTTGGTCCTGTGGTCCTCTGGTTCCCTGGTCCCGTGGTCCTCTGGTCCGGTGGTCCGTGGTCCCGTGGTCCTTCGGTTCCGCGTTTCGCAACCACGACCCACCTACGAATTCCCAGACTCCCTTGAAGCCTTGGCCATATAGCAAAGGGCAAATTTTTTTTGATCCTTATTTAATTTTTTTTGATCCTCGGGTTCTAAATTTTTTTTGATCCTTATCAATTTTTTTTTTGATCCCTCACCCGGAGCTCTGATGGCAGGCGAGCCGGCTCAACTACCGACAAAACGGCGCAGGATCTCTGAAGCTCTGAGGCTCCAAGAGGGATATGATGGCGCTGTGAGAGTCTATGCCAGGTTTGGTTTACAGCATCACCAGGAGCTGGGTGCAAAGGGAGCTGTGCTTTTGGATTGGCAATGCCGGGTTCGCTGCTCTTATCTCCTACATAGGTAGATCTGAAGCCTGACTTGTACGACTTGATGGTACAGAGCGACTTGTAATGGTACTGCTCCAGGCCCGGGCGGTAAACATGCCCGTCCCTCTAGACATCGCGAAGGCGCGGCTTGGGTGTTTTCTGTGCACTTCAGAGACTTCTGCGCGCCGTACGTAGAGGCCGTGCCCGATGAAGGGCCGGACTTGGGTTTTCCACTGCGCGAACTGCTTGAAGCTTCAGCTCCTTTCGCTGTCGCCCCGGCCCCGCCCCAAATCAAATAAAAGCTCCACGACCTGTTGGCAACCCCGGGCCAGGGCGGTCCGTGCATGTTGGTTTTTGCTTGCCTGGTCGTGGCGAGCCTCAACATCACGACTGCCGAAGCGTGCTTTGGCTGCCTGCAGCTCACCAGTACCCGAGGATCCGAATCACAGTCTTGTGAGTGCAGCCTTAGTGTTGTGTGTGGACAGCACCGGGTTCATGACCTTGTCGAATGTTGGCAACTGTGAAGAGTTGTGAAGCTTTCGTGTGACGATGCCTCGGTTTTTTCTTCGTTGTGGGCGCAGTGCAGAATGCTTCTGAGAGGAAAGAAACTTTCATGCTTCCCTGCAAGGGCTGAAGCCTCGCTTTCCTGCTTCTCGGTGCGTCCTCCATGCTCTGAGCTTGCTGCCCTACTGCCATTCCAAGGTACAGCCTTCCGGCCGCCAATTTTGGGGGACTGAAGAGCGCCTCAGTGAGTATTTCGTTCTTGGCTCCAGTACTTGATGTCTGTTCCTACAGCATTGAGGCTTTCCTGGGTTCGGATGACGGCCTTCCTAAGGAGGGATCAGCTTTTGGTGGCAGTTTGAGTCTCAGTCGGACGCTTCCAAGGCCTCCTCCCCGGGTCCATCAGCGACTGTTGCTCACCTGCCTGCGCTTCTCCCACGAGCCGCGGACCCAGAGAGCAAGAGCTCAGAATGAGGATCCCAAGCTTTACATTCATGGTTACATTCATAGTTATTGAGGCTTGAGCAGACTTAACACCGTCCTGGTTTTGACAGTGTTGTCGGTTGTGATGCTTTGTCAGGAACTTCTATGCACCACGCAGGGGGCATTGAGAAATGCACAGCTGCGTCTCTTGATGCCAGCGCCAGGTTTGCTGACGATAGCTGGAGTGGGCTTCCTAGCTGGCGGGGCCTTGACCATCAGACCCTTGACCGCACACAAGGCTTTTCGGGGACCTGTACCTACCTTTTCGGAGAGTGCCTTTCTGTCTTCAGACAGAGGAAAGGGTGCTTGGCGGGCATCCGGCGGGCCCACTTCTCTCCCTATCTCCAAGGCGATCCGCTCGCTTCCGTGCTCCTCACGGCACAGGGCTCGGAACGGGAACGAGGGAAGGAACAACTTCTCAAGACAGACTGAGAAGTTCGACAGTGCGCAATGGTTCTCATCTGTGGTTGCCGTAGTGTCGCACAGCGTCTGGCCGGTGAGCATTCAGGCGTTGTGATGCGAGACAGCGACTGAGCCTGACAATGATAGGCATTCGATCGACTCGTTACATGCCAGATTCCTCAGACGTGACCTGGCGCGGAATCCGTAGCAGGATGACACTCCTGAAAAAAGGGATCAGCGCTGGACTGTCTTGGTGTTGTATTGAAGCTTTTGAGACCAATGTGACACACACAAGAAAACACTCCAAGTAGCCGATGTTTCCCAGAGCCCTTGCCCTGGGGCGTTTAGAATCGCGTCGATTCCGCTGCGTGGCTGAAACATGTCTTTTCTCACGGCCCTGGAACAAAATTCCGGGTATGCCCCTTCTGAGACACACCAGTCTCCAAAATTGGATTTGCAAAGTTGCAGAGGGCTTATAAGTCACGATAGAATTTAGTCCCACGCGGCGCAACTCAGTAGGTCTTAGACTTCCATGATTCGTTTGATCTCTTGCAGTGGATCTCACAGAGGGACGGCACAGGTTTCCGCGTCAGCTGTCAACGACCATCTTGGTTGCACAACCATTGTTTGACGGGCTGTCAAGGCAGTAGCACCTGGTTAGCATGATCGTGATCCCCTGTCTCTTTCGGGATCCACTGGTGGAGGCAGTAGCTCAGAAGTCAAGACCGCAGCCGGTTAAGGTGCGACATTCTGGCAAATGTCATGCTATGTCATACTTCTGTGCATATGCACATGCATGTCTGCAGTTCGTGTGAGCATGTGTCCGTGCGTGCGCACGCATTGGGATGGGTGCATGATGTGTTCGTGGAAAGATTGGTACGTACCGTAGGATGCCACGGCTGCGGCTCTTACCCGTGCGAGGGACATTCTGCGAGACATGAGTGCCTGTCTGTTACAAGTTTATGTTGGATGGCATGTGACATTGGATGTTCTACATGGGAAGATATCTAGGTGGCACATCAGAAAGGAGGCAGGCACGCAGGCAGCTAGACTGAGCCATACCGAAGGCTGCACCCGAAACCTCAAGCAATACCGCATTACATTACGGACTTAGTACTTAGTCCTGGCAGCCTGTGCCAAAACACGGCAGCCGGCGCCGCCGGCGGGTCTTGACAGCAACGATTTTGTTTCAATCATCCCTGGCCAGGGAAGGGAGGAGAGATCCACGATTTTCAGGCCATCCTCAACTACTTCGCGCAGCGAATCCTCAAAGTTGATACTAGCATCTGACTTCCTTGGTTTGACTAGGAACGACAGTGAAGAGTGCTGTAGGAACCTTTGGGTGCGTGGGTTTAGACCCGGAAGGCATAGAAACGTTCTTCAAACGATCTCTGGCACCCGGGAAGGGCGTTGAAATAAAGTAAACAGACGTGAGTGGCTCTTATCCTTGAGGCCCTATCTCCTTTCGGGTCATGCGCAGGCCGGCGAAGTCGTGGCCAAAGCATGGCTTGGGCGGACTGGCCTCAAAGAGAGACCTGGGTGACACATAGGTGGGAGAGGGACTCGTAGCTTTTGTTCACAGGCATGGAAAGCTACAGAGGGGATGCTTAGCTAAACGCGGCGGAAAAAGAGATGCTTTGTGAAAGGCCGATAGAGGGCAGCCCGCCAGCCCTCCCCACAGGCTCCGTCAAAGCCTCACCGGCCTGATCCTGGCAGAAGCGGGAAAGTGGGGTGTGGCTGTTATGTCGACTTTCACGTGCTTGGCTGTCAGAGCCCTCTCGCGCAGCTCGGCCAACGGCGTCGAAATGCTGCACTTACTTCCAGGCTTTTAGGAAGATCCCGCTCTTTCATCTTCTATCAGGGTTGCGGCGGAGCACCGATGCCGAAGCCGCGGGAGCTGGCTCGCAGATTTCTGTAGAAGCATCGTCATGGAGTGGCGAAACCTTGCTTTTGATCACCGTCACGTGACGTGACAAAGGTGATAGCCGGATGCCATAAAGCTGGCACAGCGTCGGTTTTGAGATTTTGGTTTTCCTTGAGGTGCCATTCGGGATGAAAGAGTTCTAGTTGAAGTCGAAGCATGCGCAAGAGCGGCAAAAGGAGAACAAAAGACCAGAGGAAAGTCGGATTGCGGAAACTCCCTTCCACAGCTTGCAAGCTCTGCTGTGAGGCGGAGGGAGCGATCCCCTTGCAGCCACAGGTCACGCAAAGCGCCTCAGGCGGGAAGGCTTTGAGCCTAGAAAGATGTTCAAGAAAGGGGGCTGCCTGCTGTCCATCACAGATGTCGCAAGGATTCTTCAGTTTTCCCCCCAAGTTTATGATGGAGGGATGCCCCTGCAATCAAAGACTTCCGAGGCAGGAGTGTCAAAATGGGGGGCTGTTCGGGATTCGTTCCGTAGGCTGATGGAGCTCGAAACTTCCCTGTGTTCATGTCAACTCGGGTTTGAGGAAGCAGCTTTAGATACAGAAAGGAGACAGTTTGTCGTCCCCTTCCTCCAGTTTTGTATGAGGTGTGCCGGCTTGCTCAGAGTTGCCTTATGCTCCAGTGGGTGATCTGAGATAAGCCTTATGGGTTGTGGAGCTCGGCCTGCTGGTGGACAGTAGCATAGTTTCTATGTTCAGGGTTCAGGGATTATCTGCGTCTACGTGCCCTGCTCTCAAGAGATCAAAGCCCGGCAGGTCTACCCTTGCACGTGCGCCTGCGCGGCATGCCGGATTCGCCCCTGGCCTTTCCTCAGGCCAGGCCCCCTATAGCACTCTCCAAATGGCAGGGTCGAAGCTCATGCGCGGGGTGCCCATGCAGCACATTGGCTGCGCATCCTCTTGTGGACCTTGTAATGCAGAGACTTCAACTGGCTCCGTCCTCTGTGGAAGACCCCACCGAGCCCCAGGGTAGCCTGCGAGCCATGCGCAGCCTGCGCGTCGTACGCCTATGGTCGCAGGCTGGGACCAGGCCCTTGGGCGCGGTCTTGGACTCCGACTTCTGCCCCTTCAGCCGGGCCGTCTCCGAGGCGCCCCGATGCCGGCGATGCGGTGCCTATAGAAGCTCTTCCAAGCTCGAGTGACGTCTCTGCGAGGCATCGACGGAGCGGGTCGCCGCCTCGATAACGGAGGATGCACGCCGAGCGTTTCACAGAGCACTCTCCATGTCATGTGCCTTGCTGGCTGAGCCGCAGTTCAGAAGCTAGAACAGGACCAGCTTCAAGCCTTTCACGTGCCAGACTCGCATGTGGCCGGGCACCCAACCGAGCCCAGCAATGCATGGAAGTGTCAGACGGCACTCTGTTCAGGTGGAGCTCTACGACTTGCCAGAAGGCGGGCAGACGCGGATGCCGTGCGTTGACGTTGACCTGCCGAGGCAGGTTTTGCTAGGGACGTGTTGCAGCAGCGCTTCAGGATCATCCAGGGGCTCCACTGAGAATGGGTGCGCAAGGTCCAGGCGGGCACGGGAGACCGGGCAAGTTCCGCGGGGAATGCATCCACAAGACACCTGCGAGGTGGTTGGCATCCTGTTTGGCGCAGCAGCTCTCGTTGCCGAAGCATTATCCTTACAGTATCCCGAGAATGGCCCGGGGAGTGTGTCAGGCTTCCACGGGTCGATGTGGCTTGGAACGATGGATGTTGCACGAATGAAGCCGACGCAAAGGCTGCACAGGAACATGGGAGCCGCTGCGCCCCCAAGGTCTTCCTGGCCGAGTGCCATCTGCGTCCGCGAGACATCCGAGGGAGCCTCCACAGCAGTTGTGGCGCTGCGGAGGCGCGAAAGTGGACCTCGCCAGTGTGTCACCGCCTTTCCCGGTTTCTGAGATTTCTGAGGGCAACGCATGCCTGCGAGCTGCTGACGAGGGCTGCTGAAGGCAGGGCAGTCTTTGCCTGAATTTGGTGTGGACATGCTTGAGTCGCCAGAGGAGCTGTCGGTGTGTCCACAAGTCTCATTGCAGCCTTGTATAGCTTGCTGCCAGGCACCCTCGGCTCTGGAGACACCTTCCTCCAGGCGTTGTGCGGGTGCACCCTTCCGGACTTCAGTGTAGATGAGAAGTTCCCGGGTCGTCTCGGCTTTCTCAAGAAGCCCCCCCCTGCAACGCAGGTCCGCGCCTTGACCTCCGCCACGGCGGCCACCAGGGAGAGGTGCCGGGGTCATGAGCAGGTCAATGGCTTTGTCGAGCAGTTTTTGGGAGAACTCACGGCAATTTGGGAATGCTAGCACACAGACATCATGCTCTCTGGCACGTGCATCGGAAGTAGGGACACGTCGATGGTTTGCCAACGATTTGGAAATTACCTCCCATATATCGTCAGACTCAACAGCTCCAACTTCTAGAGCTTTGAGCAGATGTTTGGACCCGCCCCGTTTAAATCATTGAAGCTCCACGCAGTCACGGCAAACCCAACCTCCGGATTCCTGAGCGCCTGAGTCTCAGAGGCTGCGCGAGTGGCGAGGTGCAGAGTTCCGGCCTCAGGCGCGAGGCCTCGGAGATTTCGTGGCGCACCTGAAATTCGGAGAGATGTCATTCCGCAGACGGTGCCCACTGCTGCGCGGCGGCTGATTCACGGCAGCTTGCAGAGCCAGATCCCCCTGGCACACCTCGTGGAGGACGGCAGAAGCTGCGCACAAGCTGCACCTGGACGTATTTGCATAGAGAGCCTCTTGAATCAACTGAACGAGTGTGCAGCGAATTGGCAATATCACAGGAGAAGAATTCAACGCGGATAGCTGCTCGCAGCCCACAGTGAAAGTTGCGGCGCAGAGGATCACGTGAGTTCTTAATGTTCAGAGCCCAATCAGGCTTGACACATCTCGAAGCTGTTGTTGTAATGCTGTACTCAAAATCCACTGTGCTGCCGCATCACGAGCTGGAGCGGCAAAAAGCCGGGATCGGGCTCTCGCTTGTGGGATGTTGCGGGGGGTGCCCGAGCCCTTTCACATCGATCAATGGAGGTTGCAGCCTCCAGGCGCGGCCGGCAAGGCGAGAAGGAGGCACTTCCGAAAGAACCCATCTGAGTTTCGTCACGCTGGTACCTTCAATGCAGGACTCCTGAGTTCCGTCACCGCAAAGTAGCCGAGACTGGCAGGTTCTGGCGAAGATGGAGCGAGACATTGCCGCTTGCACATCAGAAACAAGAGTCGCCTGCGAAAGAGTGGTCTATTTAGAAGGTTGCGGCCTTGCAAGGCGAAGGCGAAGGTCTGGCTGGCAGTTCATAGGCTTCGCCAGGGCTTCGCTTGCTGAGCTTTCCTCCTCACGAGGCCACCTCAAGCAAAGCTCTGGAAGCCCTGCAGGAAGGGCCTGGGTTCAGGAGTTTAGGCTTCGGCTTTCCCGTTCACCGGCGACGAGGGTTCAACTCTTGGCTTGGCGAGTGTCCAGGGGCCTTGGAGGCTGAGTTTCGCGAGACTTCGGAGATGTTGCCAGGTCAAGTTCCGCTGTGAGACCGTCACTCGGACCCCGAACTCACCAACAAGACGCGATCAACACCCCCAGCCCCCGATGCCGCAAACCGATGCCGCAAACCGATGCAGGCGGAGCAATCCGCCTTGCAGGCAGCCCTGGCGAAAGCGGGCAGCTCAAGACTCGCATCTTTTTCGCGATCTTTGCTCCGTGGCTTCTGCCTCCGCGGTCTCAGGCGGAGCAGGAGAACCAGAAGTTTGCGGAAGATGAGGCCTAACTGTGGCAAGCCCACAAGCGAACCTGCCGAGCGGTTCCCCAGCGTTGGAGTTGGGCTGGAGGCCGACTTGAAGAGCATGAGGAACCGCGCGGAGACCAAGGCCAAGCAGGCGAAGGCCCGTGAAAGAAGCGAAAAACGCTAACGGAGCTGACGGCTTTCTGCGTGGTCTCGTGTCTCGAGGCCGAGAGGCGGAGTTTGGAGTCGAAGCTGAAGGAGCTCGAGGCCGAGGCGCGGCTCTGCCTCCTTGGCGGTGAAAGGTCGCGGGGTGCTCTTCAGCGGCTCGCAGGCCAATGCGCGGACGGCAGAGCTGGCCACAGCCCTCGCAGCAGAGAAGGTGCTGCGCTGATGTTCTCAAAGCGGAGCTTCGAGAAGCCACGAAGCAGCCAGGCTGGAAAACGAAAGCTCGAGGAGCAGCTGACTCAGGAACGCGCCGCACGTGAAGCAGCCGGGCCCCCCAGCCTATGCAGCTTAACTACGGCGAGAGAGGCAGAGAACCGGGCGAAAAAAGGAAGGCATAGGAAGGCTCTCTTGACCACGAGGCCTTTGGTCGCTTTGGTCACAGTGTTGCTCATCTTGTATACGCAAGGTTGTGGCACGCGCGGAAGTTTCGCGATGTCGGCGAGTAAGTTCGTTACAGGTTTGTGCCGGCTTGGGCTTGAGCATTCAACGCTCTAAGGCTGATGTTTGGCTTGCGATGTGTCTCCTAAAGCCGATGGTTTTGAGAGGTCCTTTTCTTTTGTCTCCCGGCCGGCCTGAGGCCACCTCACAGCTGCAGCAGTCAACGGAGGCGCTAGAGCTGGAGCAGGCCCTGGAGAGGGCCGTGGTGAGGTGCTTGTGTCTTCAGACTTCAGATTGGGCGGAGATGCAGATGGTCCGTCGTTCCGTGCTGGGGTGGCGCCTTTGAAGTACACCGGAAAGGTTTTCTCCGCAAAGTGGGGTTGAGCTTGGAGCCTTCGTACTTGTGTTGGGACGTGTGGTGTGTTGTTCCGGGCCTACTTGCTGGCTCCATGTGAGTTGTAGTCCTATTCTCAGGTCGCCAAAGTGGAATCCGAGAAGCGCCTGGAGCTTTGAAAAGCAGATGATCTTGAATGACGTACCGCAAAGAGCAACAACTGACTTCGAAGGTCAACAATGCGGGTTGGAGCCAAATTTTGCGTCGTTGCGGCAGAGTGACTAGTCCGAAGTATAGTCCAAAGTATCTGTGAAGGCTTTGATGCCAAATAACTGAGACAGGCACACTTCCAGCAATCTTTCAGCAGCAACAGCGCGGCTGTTGCGAATCTGAAACAGCAGACCTTCCCAGACCGGAAGATGCGAGCCATGAGGTTTTCATGCTTTCCCAAAATTCTCCGCCGAGGCTGGGAACAAATAGCTGCAGACTTGTCCAAGCAGGCTGGAAACAACGCATCTTTGCACGCTTTCGTAGTGCCGCTGGCATCTTTCTGCGAACCGATGCAGACCAGTTCTTTGTGCCATGGTTCGAATCCGCTGGAGATCCATGACGTTCCCCTGCACAGGCATCGTATCCGAGCAGTTCCGAGGCTCTGCTAGAGAGATGTGCATCGAGGGTCATCTTATGCCGCTTTATGGTTTTATGTTGATCCGAATATGCAAGCAACAGCTGCGCATTCCACCGGCGGTATGTCCGTGCTCCGTGTGCAGCTGCAATGCACTGATGAAAGATAATATGTGCTCAAGGCACTTCTAGCTGCTAGGCACACGAGAGTCTCACGGAGGCTGCTCAGCTGGAGCAGAAGTTGGCGAAGTTTCAAGAGGAGGTCGGCTCCAGCTAACTTCGAGGGTCTTCCGTGAAGTCCGAAGCTTTGAAGCAATCTCCTTGCTGCGCTGCCTCCAAACGACCATGTTTTCGCCAACTGATGATGCGTGTTTAGTGTGCGCCCAACCTGGACGTGATGGCAGCTGCCTCGCAGCTTGTTTCGTAGGGGCATTGAGTGGTAGTTGCCCACGACCTTCGGTGAAGTATTGATAGAAGTCCCATGTGGAACCTACCGATGCATTGCCAGGGAAAAGAGATACAGCCTAATACAAGGCTTTGGGATGTTTATGTATCAGACTCACTTTACGTTCTGCCCTCATCTTGACCTTGCCTTTTCTGCGACCATGTTCACACAAGAATACTGCGTGCAGCCCTTACGTAAATGACTGTGTGCTTGTGCGTTCGTGGCTGTAATCAACACGCCGGAGTACGCTCCGAGCTCTGTCACGGAGGAGTCTAGTATATAGATGTCAAGTTTCACTTCGTTTTTAGTTGTGCTGTTGCAGGCGAGACGTATGGAGGCTGACCACGATAAGGCTTGCGCAACGGATTGGCAGACTTGGCATCGAATGGTGCATCAAGAGGAAGCATCAAAACAGTCAATGGTGGGCACGAGGTCGTGGCCAGCTTGCAGGCCAAGTCGCAGGCGTTGGAAAAGGAGAACCAGGAATTGAAGGCCAGCGGCCCTTCCTTGTGGCGATTCTTGACAACTGCGCTGCTCCCAGCAGGCCACTGCTACTCGCCTCGAGAAGAAGGTTTCCTCGGCTCAGAAGGAGGCAGCTTTGCTGAACTAGGATGGCTGACATGTATTTGGGGGTGCGACGCAATTTGCATTGCAGGCTGAGGAGGAGCTTCAGCAGCTGTCAACATCGTTGAAGTCAGAGAAGGCGCGACTTGCCTTCCACAACATGCCGCGCTCGAACATGTCGGCAGTGATGTATCACACGTATCATGTTCAGAGAGGATGCGAAAGCCGAGCTGGAGAAGCTCCTCCGCTCTAGTGAGGCCAGTTGAAGATCGCACGATGTCAGCAACATCTCGCAGCTGCAGACGCTTCCCTTTCCAAGGCCAAGCTGGCGAAGCAACAGAAGGCACTGTCCGCAGTACTCGTAGATGTCTGCCACATGTTGCAGGTTGCTTTCAGTGGCTGTGTTCCTAATCGCAGTATCTGTAATTTGTCTGTAATGTGAGGATGTGTCGATGCAAGCAGAAGAACGACAGGCAGCTCGGACGCAAGCCAGGCTTCTCTCGGTACCGTTTGAGGCTGCGGGTGTTCCGCGGGTTCCGCCGACCCTGTTCAAGCGCGGCGCAAACGTGAGGCTTTTAGTTCGAGTTGAAGCACGTTCCGACTGGTCATCTCTTGTTACATTTGGCACAGTGTCTATGTCATACTTGGCCACCCATTGGTGGGCGAGGTCAGGAGAGGGTTAGCAAAAATCTTTCCCAATCCGCGCGCTTGCGTCGGCAAACAGGGAGGCAGGAGGTGAGGGCCAGGGAAGAGGAGGGGCAAGGCGGGGATTGGGGCAGGCGAGGTGGGAGGCAGGTTAAGGGAGGCAGAGGCTTTTCTTCTTAGTGCTGTTCCCCGCATAAGCCGGGGTCGGTGGATGTTGCGCGATGTGGGCGCGAGGTCGTGGCCAGTTTGCAGGCCAAGTCGCAGGCGTTGGAAAAGGAGAACCAGGAATTGAAGGCCAGCGGCCCTTCCTTGTGGCGATTCTTCACAATTGCGCTGCTCCCAGCAGGCCACTGCTACTCGCCTCGAGAAGAAGGTTTCCTCGGCTCAGAAGGAGGCTTGCTAGGGTGCGGTTTCTGGCCGCATCGCGGTCTTTTTTGGACCTTTTTGTGGCTTTACTCGCCCGGGTTCTTGGGTGGGAAATGGTTACTTTCAATGTTGAGCCACCGGTGTGACGGGGCAGTTGTACCAAGTTTGAGGTTTGCTGATGCTTGTTCTTACTTCCACCCAGCGATGGTGCAAGTGCCCTAGACGAGATTGCTGCTCGAGCAGCTTGCTGCCGGCCTGGCTTTGCCCTGACTTGCTGGGCGGGAAACGGGGCGGTCATGATTGCTGCTGATGCTCGCCTGTGGGGGAACGACAAAACGTGGTGGGTCTTTCTGAAAAGCCTTCGCAGACCAACTAGAAGCACTTGCCTCTGATTGCCTTGCCTTTGTCAGCACTGCCGGCTGGTACCGAGATGTTTCGCTCAGTGGTAATTCTGCCAGGCCTACCTGTATGACACACCTGCAAGAGTGTTTTGCAAGATTGAGGTGCTGTTCAGATCGGAAGGGATTGGACGCTCTCAAGTCGTATGTTTGGACCAACAAACACTGCGTACTGTGCCGGAAAGGCCGACGAAAGATTACAGCAGCTGACCTCTGCTTTGGAGGCGGAGAAGGCGCTGGCATGGAGACTTTTGGGGGATGCAGTCGGCTGTGTAGGATGCGGTCGGTCTCCAGATGCTTTGCTACTTGTGGAGAGCGCCGTGTCTCTCAGGGTTGGAATGGGCTCGCCCTGGAGGGCAGTCCACTGTTGCACATGCAGCAGCGCGCACTCCCGGACTCTGCCCCCCCCCCCTTAAGTCTTAAGTCCCAGAACCTGTGATTAAAAGCCCCCTTCTGATACCTTCTCGCCGTCGGATGCGCACGCACGACTCTCCGCCGTCGGATGCGCAGAGGTCGCCAAAGCCGAAGCCTTGGAAGACTTGGCCTCCGCCGGGAAGGCCCGGTTTCTGGAGGCGTTCAGAGCGAAGAGCGAGAGCCCAATGTATATCCCCAAATCCCCAAACCCTGTATTCTAATGGGATGTACTACAGTACATTATAGTATATTATTATAATCTATAATGTATTATAGTGTATTATAGCATATATAATGAGCCCTCTTGGAGCGGCCCACGGTCGAAGGCAGAAAAGCGACTCCAGCTGGATCATGATCGAGCACCTCGCTTTTAGACATAGCTTTTCGGGGCCGCCTTGCCTTTCCGGGCCCTGTGTGGCTTAGAGGATTGCCGGAATTCGGAGCTTGCGCGAGGGAGGACTGAAATTCTGACATTGAATTTTGTGTGCTGGTCCAGTTTTTGGCACCCCTTCTCGACGAAGGGCATCGGATTTTCCAGGCCGTGAAGAGCTTGCTCGTGAACGCAGACGCCATGGCCGAAGAGAACGAGTCCTTGAAGGTGGGGTTCCGGCTGCTCATGGGAGATCATGAGAGATCATGATTGTTTCGGGAGGAGTCTCGGCTTCTGAAGCCGTGCTTCCAACACTGGTTCCTGAACCCGAAGTGATGTCGCTACTGCCTGGTGTCAAACAAACCGCCTAAAGACTGTTTGCAGCTCAGTTTCAGTTTAGGAACGGCAGCCATTTGACAATTCGAGCACTTCAACTGTCTGCAGGCCTCCTGCTCTGCGCTGGAGCAGAAGTTGGCAAGCCTTCGGAAAGAGGCCTCCGTCAGCCATAGGAGATTCGACGCAGGGATTGGGGAACTTGGGGCTGCCTTTTTGGTGCCGTGTCACATGCATCCTGCTTGCTTTAAGTTGATGCTCAGCAACGCATTGCAAGGCTGACGAGAAAGAGGAGCATTCCAAGCAGGCGATGGCGTCTCAGCAGGCACTGCGGTGCCAAGGGGCCCAGGAGCAGGGTCCTCTAAAGCAGCGTTGCGATGCTTGGAGCCAAGACGAAGCTGCAAAGAGTTCCATAGACCACATAGTTCCGACCGACGCTTTGGGTTGCACCGAGTCGAGCTGAGCCCGAAGATGATGCGAATGATGCTGATGCCCGTGCCAAGAGAGCGTCAGCGTAGCGGAAGTCTCTGTCATAAGTCATGACCGGAACTGGAACCATAGTGTCGGCTATGGATGCGGAGCAAAACCACGAAATCGGAGGCCGCCCGCGCTGAGCTGGAAGAGCTCGAGGAGCGCCTCACGGGTGATCGGGAGCAGGCCTGAAACAAAGGGATGTGGTTTTTTGGGGGGCGTTTTTGGGAGTCTAGCGCCTGAAGTGGAGGTACGCGCAGTGTAGAAGGATTTGAGGCCTGGGAGGAGGCAGGTAGCAGGTAGCGCATGATGACTCAGCGTTCGGTTTCGTGGTTTGGTTGGGCCTTCACCTCCGCCAGAGGCAAATTCCGGTTGTAGCCTCTGGTGCTCGGCGAATTGTAGCCACTCGAAGGGCTCCTTAGAAGAGCTCTTTCTGCACACAAGTCGGGTACAATCGTTCTGATTCCTGCAATCGGCATCCGGAATTCGGACATCCGGACAGGCCGTGGCAGAACTCCACGTGAAGGCGGATGCCCTGAAGAAGGAGAACGCCTCGCTCAAGGCGCAGTGACAAGAGGATGACTAGGTCTGCAGCTGAGCTCTCCGGCAGTTGCCAGGCGTCTATGACCAAGTTGGAGAACAAGTTGAAAGCTCTCCGGAAAGAGGCTCATGGTAGGAGTCGTGCCAGTAGCTTTGCAGCACAAACAGCGAATCAGGGCGGCAGGGTTGCATCACAGGCTTCGGCCAGGTGTGTCCAAATAGAGAGTTCAGCCGGATCATTTCCCGTGCAAGTGCTTACATTCCTTCATACATTGGCCTACTCTGGCATGTAAGCAAGGCAATGTGCAACATCAACATGGAAGCACATAGCACGATGGCAGTCAGCTGAAGGCCAGTTGCCCATTGTGTCTTTTTTCGGCTGGTTCCTGGGAGGCCGAAGATCAGGCCGAGCTCCTTGTGGATGCAGTGGAGGCGCACAGCCGCCTGGTGCGTTGGATCTGGGACTGTTGGTTCTCTTTGGATCCTATGATTGGGACATTTTGTGTGCAAGGCAAGCAATGGCATAGGGGGGCAGGAGGATTCAGGGGTCGCCCGGGGTCGCGGGTCGTCGGTGTCAAGGCAGCCCGAGCAGAAGGCGCAGCAGAGTCCGCAGCAGCGATGGAGGAGGCTCTTGGCTGTGGCTGCTGGGAGGGCGCCGGGCATCCATATGTTGTAGACATCTCCGAGAGAGGTCAAACTCAAACTCGGTCGAAACCACCCAAAACGGGCTGTCACCACGTTTTGCTGCTCACCGTTCTGTTGGCTTCAGGGGGGGACGGTCCCCGCGAGGCCGAAGAGAAACTCGAGCAGACCACTGAGGCGCTGGCGAACGCAGAGGCCTTCTCGTGACTTCCAGAGTCTTCGGAGACTTCGCGGTGGAAATGCGAAATGCTCCTTCGCCTTAGCTTCTGCTCGGTTGTCAAGGCGACGCTGCGGCATCTTCAGAATAAGCTCCGAGAAAGCCAGGCAGAGGCTCGGAAGAGTCCTGCAGACTGAGAGTCTCGCTTTAAACTATGGCAGGAAGCGTCCGGGTTTAAGGGCTTGGGATCCGGAGGCTTGAGGGTTTAGGGCTCGGTCTCCTCCCGATGACAGTCTGTTCTTCCGCTTCGGCGGCTGTTCTGCCCTGGCAGTGAGCCGGTGAGCACCAGGGTGATTGCTGTCATTTTGTGCAGCAACGACAGTACCGCTCGAAAATGATTGAATTCCTGGGGTCCTATAGAGTTGCCGATCCTGTTCGCTGTTGCGAAATGCTGATGCTGATGACCATGATGATGATGATGTTGATGATGATGACGGACGACGCAGCAGTAGTAGTAGTACTGGTCGCCGTCGCCGTCGCCGTAGTTTAAGAAAGGTGCGCTGGAAAGCCAGCCGCTTTTCGCCTTTTTTAGGGCTTCGTGCTAGACTCTATGCGGCTGTCTCAAGTTCCCCTAATCCCAATTTCGGCGCATCTTCCGCGCCCGTGAGTTTTTGGACTTCGTCGCCTCCTGCCTGTGATCAGTCTTTTTGTGATGTTCGTGAGGTTTTGTCGGCTTTCACGCGAATGTCTCAATGTCCAGGTTCTTGAAGATATTCTTCTGGCCTCTATCGAGGCAACAGCAAGACCACAAACCTTCGGTCATGTTTAGGGTTTCGCGCCGGTATTCCCTCAACTCCGAAATCTTGCACCATCTGATGACGATGATGTGCATGATGGCATTGATGATTATCATGTTGATTCTCTGTTTCGTGATCATGATGCTGGTCGTGTTCACGATGAGGCTGTGGTCCGGCTTCTGATCCTGCCATGTGCAGGTGCAAGAGGAGCAGGCGCGAGCTTCGGAGGCGCAGAAGCCCCGAAGCACGCGAGATACAGCTTAATTTGGAGAGTTGGTGTGGCTCAGCTTCTGAAGAACGCACACGAGTTTCGTCGATGTTTCCTTGATTCTGATCCTGCTTTCTCGTTGAACGCACTCATGCCAGCTGTAAAGCTCGAGCTGCAACCAGTCATGTCATCAGCCCCAGTCCCCAGCCAGGAACGTCATGCTTTGGTGCAACTTGCTGCAAATCTAAGCATCCAGCAGCTGGCGCTGCGCGCCGTGCCGTAGCGTGAGCCCAACCTAGACATGCCAGGAAGCCTCTTTTCAGAGCTGTGGGCCACCGAGCCATGACGCCGGTAGCCGTGGACCCTCCAAACTGGCCCTCCGGTGCATCCCTGGACGAGGCGGATTGACAGTATAGCTCCTTCCATTTCGAAACTTGGTGTTCTAATTTAACTGATTTGATGTTTCACTGCAGCATGACTATGGCTGCTATGGACTTTGGCCATTGCATCGCTTCCTGAGACTTTGGGCCACCCCTCCGTCTCAACACACGCTTCCTGCCAGGAGGCAGTCTCTGCACTGCACACGGCGCACCATGCGCAGCCTAGAAGTGTCCTGGGCTGCCACAGGCATCCGCAGAAAAGACGAGTGTAGCTGTGAGTTTCGACCGAATTGCAAGCGAATTGGGTTGCTCGGTGACTCGGTCAAGGCGTTTGGATGCTGTACTTCTTCGGGTACTGTGTCTATTTTTCGAAGTTGCTGTTTCCGAGGAGGAGAATCAACACAGGAACGAACTAGAACTTTAACAGACAAGGAATAGAGAACGAGACAACATGTGCAGGGACGCAGCACGCCATTCATGCGCTGTCATGAAGTCAGCAGACAAAGGCAATGACAGATAACAACAGTACAGTGTCAGTGCAAGGCTAATCAAAGAAGCTACGAGGTCGAATGCACAGAAATGGAGAAAGAAGGACCGCGGAACTGGGGACCGATACTCTGTTCTCAGCGCTGTGAACTCCATCGCGGAGGGGAGCGACTGGAGTGACTGGCGCGTGGCTTCGTCTGCTTCGTCATTCCTCTCAAGACATGCCGGTATGGGCGTGCATATTCAATAAGATCGGGACGGGAAACCAGGATGGAAAGGCACACCACGTTTAGGATAGTGCTGTACCAGTACGACGATACGACAATTTCAGACCTTGAGGGGAGGATCAGCGGAAAACGGGGTGGGTCTCGGACTCCTTTAGGACTGTATCCTGTGCACGGTTTGTCAAGGGCTTGGGGCTTGGAGGTGATTGAAGATTTGTGCACGGGATTTCTGTTTATTTCGGGATGTCTGCTGTGCGGGACCTGGGGTTTGTGTCCACGATTAGGGTTTAGGGTTGGCGTACGGCTTAAGGTTGCATCTTCTTTGTGGCCCGGCGGTGAGGAGTTTGAGGCTTGCAGTGGCGTGGTTGGGGGTGAAGATCTGTGCACGGAATTAGGGTTTAAGACAACAGAAGGAAAGAGAGAGATATAGAGAGAGAGAGAGAGAGAAAGCCTGGTAGAGAGAGAGCGAGAGAGCTCACACCTCCCGAAAGCCCCAGGAATTGTGGGGGGCCAATAGGCCGGGGGGTTTTACAGACCCCTCATGCCCTGGGGAAGAGAAGAGAGAGGGGGGGGAAGCCTTCATGGATGAGCCGCAGCAGAGCCGCTCCAACTCAGCAACGGCACAGCGGATGCTTTTCGGGGGGAGCCTCGCGGCACACAGCTGCACGCAGATGAGTCTTCGCCTCGGGGGATCCGGGGTGGAGGGACCTCCTGCCCTCTCCGTCCTGGTAGAGAGAGAGCGCGCCAGAGAGAGAGTGAGAGAGAGGGAGAGAGATGGGATCGTTTTGGCAGTGCGGACCAGAATACTAAACAAAGACACGTGCGGTCATGAGCTTACCGTGGTGACTTCCTCGATCCAGGCTGGCCCATAGCGACGAAAGTGGCTCCGATTTGTGCCTTTGGCGAGTATACTGCGAGGTACGGGATGTGGAGGGTGGTCTGCGAATGCGCTGCAGCTGGGGACGACTGGGCGTTAACACGATTGATTTCGGGAGGGGAGAAATGGTCAGAGAGCAAGGTATGTCTTTCGCATCTGGCATCAAGCCCTTGAAAGAGATTGGGAGGCCGGAGCTGCACTGAGTCACATCCGCGACCGGATACCTCTTATGTTCCATGAAACTCCAAAGCGTCACAGTTAAAAGTAAGCTGCATTGCTGGATGCCAGCCCCCCCATGTCAGGCGGAGAAGAAACAAGTCAAACTGCAGCTGCTGCTGGACGAGGAATCCAAGCACACCAGCTGCAGCTGTGGCAGTGACAGCAAGAACACCTTGTTATGCTTCCGTTATTGCGCCTGCACTTTGGGGCAATCGAAGTTGAGCGGCTCGCAGGCTTCGAAGTGAAGTTTCCGCACCCGGCCTTGAGGCCGATTCCACTGGTCCGCCGCTGCGCATGGCTTTACGAAGCTGTGGTGCAGTTGCCTGCAACACGGCCAGGCTTCAGAATGTTTTCCGTCCGCCTATGGGTGACGCCTGCGTTGCCAGTGGTCTGCTTGCCAAGAGTTGACCACAATCTGGGTCGAAGCCGGAGACCTGTCAAGCCTACACCCAACCCTTGAGGCAGACTGGCTGCCGCCCGATGATGGCGCCGGTGGAGCACCTGTTGGCGGGGCCCGGTCCCCAGCAGTAGAACTCCGGGTGTAGGGGTCTGGTCCAGTTTGGGGGTTTAGGGGTTTGGGTGTTTAGGGTTTCAGTCATTCAGTGCTCTGTGGTCTAGGGAGGGTTATAGGGTTTAGGGTTGCCAGAAGCCCGCAGACTGCTCTTTCGAATGTCAACCGGGAATGACCGTATGTCGAGGTCCTCCACTTGCCCAGATACTACGTGATCGCCCCCACGGAGGATTGTATGTGGGAGCCCTGATCTCCCAAGGTATCGTCTGTCAGAGATTGTGTTCCCTGCAGGCAACTTCAGGGTCGTGTGGGAATTGCAGTCTCCTCGCTGTCCAAGACCAAGACGCTGCGCCTGAGTGGCTCACTCGTGGGCGAATAGTCGCCTGTGCAGATGACTGGTTCTGTACTTGGTACCAAGCTGGCTAGGATGGTAGAGAAGCGAGAATTGGACCAAAGCACAGCATTAAGTGTCAGGCAAATCGAGCTTCTGTGAATCCGTGGGCCATCAGGAATAATATTGAAATTGCCGCAAACGAGGTGGCTGGCCCTCAACCAGAAAGTGTGGTTGAACGTGACTACTTGCCCTGCACTGGCCTGAACATGCCTCGACGGCAGACCCAAATCATGACTGGTGCTCGATTCGAATGGGCTTCGAATGGGCTTTGAATCAAAGTAGACACAGAAACGTTGGAACAACCTACATTGTGGTGGCAGTCAAACCCTTTGCTGCAGTGTGTGTTGTGCCCTGTGCTGGCATGTTTCCATGCAAATTCAATTTAAGCCAGAGATGGTTGATGAGTGGATCCACTGAAAAAATTGGGTTCGGAGCAGGAGGGAGAGCAGATCCTCCACGACTGCTTTGGCTACGTCGGCTTCTTGCTTGCCGAGGTGGCACAAGGTTTTCTCACACATGTAGCCATGGCCTACAACCGGCCTCAGTCCAGTAGCTCAATATCCAGCATCTTTCAACATGCACTGAATCTCAAGCAGAAGCATCCGAGGTGTCCTAGCCAATGCGGTGTTTTGCCGTGGGGTTCGGGAGTGTGGGAGCAGGTGGAGATCGAGCAGCTGCAGCAGGGCAGCTTTCCTACAATCGCCGATGCTCTGGGCTGTCATGCAGTCACGGCCGGAGCCGTGGCAGCAAGGGTTTGCGGCAGTTCGACCGCGCAAGCAGCATCATGCAGCAGTCGAAGTCGGTGATCAGGTGGCGTTTGCGGCCTGCGGTTTGCGACCTGGGCGCCGAGGGCCCAATTCGTCAGCGTAGTAGGACTGTTGTGGGTTTTCCCGATCGTTGTGCCTTGATGCTGTCGCCGGCCGCTGACCTGTGCCGTTGTAACGAATTTTTACGTCGGCAGTGGCGCCACGATGCCTCATGCCATGTGTGACGGCCAGGAGATTGGAACACCTGGGATGGCCGAGCGTCGCCGATGGCACGGCGACACAGAGCGGAAGGCTGGGTTCTGACTCCAATCAGCCCTTGGCCGCCTTGGCCCTTGACCTCGGGCAAAGGTGGGGGCTTCTCCGGCCTTTGGGAGATCTTTGCCGCCTGGCGGAAACGTGCACAATGTCTCTAGTCCATCAGGAGCTTTCCTTTGCTTGCCAAAGATCCTCGTAGAGGCTGTCAAAGAAGCTGAAACGCCTCAGGTTCCTTTCGGCCCGGACTTGTCGCACGTGCCTTTTGGAAGTACGCAGCGTGGAAGAAGCGAGCATAGGTACGGCTTGAGTTTGGTGACGCTTGGCCAGGTGGCTTTGCTTTCAGATCAGTTCTGAATCTTCGAGTTTTGCACCGGATCTCAGGTACGGCTTCAAGATTCATACTGGGGCGGGCCTGGACATCGCGACTTGGGCCTTGCAAGATCTGTTCTAACTTCCATTTGTAAGACTAGGCTTTGGGAGCTTTGCAGAAAGACGTTCCATGCTGCCATGCCAGGTGAAGATGGACCCCTTTGCGCAAGAGTTTGAGAAGCCCAGCGACCTACACCAGAGCCCTGTGCCTTAGGCGGCATCCAACGAAGACCTTTTGGCCCTGTAGGGGCCAGGGCGGGCCCTGGGCCGAGAAATGGAGTTGGGGGAGGGGCCTTTTTGTCAGAGTCTGGACGCAAGCAGCACGTCATTTTTCGGGCATCCGAGACCTTCAACGCCTCTGTGGTCAGTGCTTGTGACGACAATTACCGACCAGAGCCGTTTGAGTGGGGCCCGGACCCCAGACGTGTCGCGAGAGTTGAGGAGGCTTGGAGCTCAACCCTAAAGGGCCCGAAAGCCGACCTCCGAAAAAGCTGCAGGCGACGAGGCGTGGATGCTGGCTCGGGAGGAGCGAGGCCGCCTGAACACAGCCTTGCTGCAGCCGATGGCCATCTACGAGGCCACTGGGACAAAAGTGCTCAGAGGAATCCCTTTTTCTGTTGCGTCTGCAACAAGTTCTAGCCAGACTTTCGAGGTGCATTTGCCCTCGTGGAGACGTGGTGCAGATGGGGAGCTTCTGAGTGCCTGGGGCGAAGAGTTGGTCTCGCAGCCCACGCCTGGAAGCGCCAGAGCCAAGGCTACAGGGAGCTCACGCAGCCCCTCATTGACCACGTCAAGGACGGGTCCTCGGGTGGAGTCCGAGCCGGTAGCAAGCCTTCGTTTCGAAGAGCCTAAGCTAAGGCAGCTAAGGCTCTAAACTTCAATTGGGTGGAGCTCATGGCTCTGGCGCATCACCCCTTCCTCGGCTCTTGGGGCTACCAGGTCTCAGGGCACCGGCCCGAGATTTTTGTTCAGACATCCTCAGGGCCTACTGTTGCCTACTCTTGACTTCAGGGAGGGCCCTTCAGGGCCGTTTCCTCCTCGGTCTCTCCCTTTTGAGGTACTACAGCTCTTTTTCGCTTATGGGCTCGCCCGACGATTTGAAGCACCTCATCAACGAGCTGCATAAGGCCGGCGCCCACCAGTGGGTAGAAGGCGACGCACGCTTGCCTGCAGCGCCCTCGACGTTTGCAGATATGACCTGCGACGGCTTACGGTATTTAGACGTTGAAGGGGTTGCATCTGCAACCTCCCGTGCCTATTGGAGAGTACTACGCCCCAGGCCTTGCACTTGACAGACTTGACAGGCAGGCCTTGGCGTAATTATGGACTTCGTTCCTGCGCACTTTTGCAGGGACGCCTGCAGCCCAGCTGCAAGAAGTTTGGGGCCCGCCACGTCCATGCTGGGGCTGCCAAGTGTGGTCGCTCCAGCCTTCTCCGACGGCCCCTCGTTCAGGTAGTTTTGGCGACTTTGACGGCACACCAACGTACGAGTACGAGGAGCAGAGACGCGGTCTGCATTCAACAGCCGGAAGCCTGCGTCATCCATGTGCGTTTGCCGTCGCAGGACCCGCGTGAAGGAGAACAGAGGCCGGCCATTGGTTGTGGGGCGCGGGATGCTTGAAGCTCGAGAGGTTCTCTCTCTGTGTGTGTGTGTCTTCTCTTTTTGAGCCGAGTCGGGAACAGACATCATGAGCCAAGCATGCACTACAACATGGGTTTGGGACTCGTTTGGGATTTGGGGAGAATTAGGGCCAGCAGGCGTCGTTAGATTTGGGTCCTGCTCGGTACACTTTGGTGATCTTTTGTGGAGCTCCTGGAAGCTCAAGAACCCGAAGCATTGTGCTAGGCAATGGGGCACCAAAATCTTCAACTTCCGGAAGAACGAGGTGCGGACGTTGGGGACGGGTCAGTAAGGGAAGCTGCTGCCTTGCTACTCCTTTTGGGTTTCTTTGGGGAAGCTGCGATGGAGACCGGCTTCGTCTGGCCCCGGGTTCCGTCGCTCCAGGTGCGCAGCTTCCTCGTGGGCTCTGCGTTGTTCTGGGCCGAGCGCCGCAGAGCATGCAAGGAGGGGTTTGAAACGTTTCTGGAGGTCGAGGCTGTGCGGAGCGGTTTGAACCCCAGACTGAATCTCGACCAGAAATCAGGCTACCACATCGATGGCTTCCGGTGCGACGCTGTGTCGGCCATGATGCTCGGCACTGGGTATTGTGACAGGCTAGGGTAGACGGTAGACGCATCAGTACCTGGCTGCGCAATGTGCGATGGCCCCGCATGCCCAGGATCTACCGAAACTTTGGTAAAGCCGATCACGAGTGGGTTCGAAATGAGCATGGCGGTGACAGCAACTTGGAAGCCGTGTCACTTCTGCGAGAGCTGAACAAGTCCATGAAGCTGTTCTGGCCAGGTGGTTGCCTCAGACAAAAAGGGAGCAGAAAAGAGACGAAGAACAAGGGAAGGGTCATGCTTATGCATCTGAAACCTCCAATGATGGGCAGGTGTGGTGATGATCGCGGAGGAGTCCACTGCCTGGGAGGGCGTCACGACCCTGAGGCCCGCGGTCCACGGCAATGAACGTGGAGCTTCCGGAGTCTGAAGACGCAGCTTTTACGTTGGCATTCTTGAAATAGAAGCAGTTGTGATCACTTGTGCATCAACTCTCATGTTCGGAGCTTCGAAGTCTTCGCACAGCACGATCTGTGTTGCCATTGGCTCTAGGCAAGGACGGGGGGGGGGGCTGGAGGTCGCGATATCGGGCCTTGACCTCATCTCGTCCCCCCCACCCCCCCTGCCCTGCCGCGCAGCGCCGCAAGGCAGATGCAGGAACATTTTCATCGCAATGGCGCTGTTGCGGTCTTGGTAGCCATTGTTTGCCTTGGCCTCCTGGGCGTGGACCTTCGTTTTGAGGAGCCGCACCTGGACATCGACCAGCAAGAGCCCACCTGCAGTCCTTGCAGCGGTGCAGTGAATGGCACTGTCTGCGGGACAAACAGAACGCTGCGGGATGCGGCGGATCTCTGGAAGATAGACGGTTTGTACTACGACTTTCGACCACTATTTTCGAGGTATCCTGGCCTACTAGGGATGCTGAGTCTTTGATCTCGTTCGTTTTCGTTGACTTTTAGATTTTATTGGCTTCATTGTTGTGCTCATCGAGTTATGAAAAGCTGAGGCATCCTGGCTCTAAGCTGCCCCTGGAGAAGACCATGGGAACGGATGCATCCATCCTCTTCCAGATACAGCACCTTTCCGACAACCCTCGCGTTGCCCTGGAGAAGTACCAGGCGCGGGGGGAGGGGGTGGGGGGCAGCGCCCCGGGGGCCGGAGCTTCTAACCCTCTTTTCCTGTCCAAGATTCTTTTCTCGAGGTTGCTTCTGAGGACGTGATCGGCGAGGTCCTTGACAGCGACTACGACTACCAGTTTGAGGAAGCGGGCTTCTACATGACCCTCAGGGCTCGCGTACGCGAGAAGTTGCAAGATTTGGGGGTCAAGAAGCCACGCCAGGCCAACATCCCCATTCTTGCAAAGGTGAGCTTCAACATGTTGATGTTTACCAGCACGTGGTACCAGATTTCATTTCGCTCCTTCTCCCCAGTGGCATGTGTCTTGAATCTCATTTCCCGGTTGGTCCTCACAGGTGCTGCCCACGAAGCCATGCATGGAAGCATCCTGCCACAACTGCCCAATGTGCAGTATCTCTACGCGAAGTCTGTGGTTGAGGGCTTCTTGGGTTTTCCACTTGAGGTTTGGTGGCAGGAGCATGTACTGCTCCACCACCTGCACACAAAAACGCTGGTGGATCCAGATGAGAACCTGCAGCAGCTAATACCCGTGTGGAGGCTCACCAACAACAGCGCCTGGAGCCAACTGCATTCATTCCCCTTGGCTTCCCATGCCGCAATTGGTTTGTTCTTTCCGCATTTGCGACTAGTTGCAGAATCCTGGCGCTTGGTCGACGATGACCGCAACGTTCGTGTGGGTTGCGCTTGGGTCGTGCTTGGAGTGCTTCTAGTACACTGGCTCCCGCTCTTCGTGCAAAAGAACAAGCGAAAGGCATTTCTATCAATTTTCCTGTCGTCGCTGCTGGCGAGCATGCTGACGATGTTGGCCTTTCACGTGAATCATTTGTTTCCAGAGGCCGAAGGAGTCTATAGCCAGCCTACGGATTGGGGGGAACGTCAGATGGCAACGACTTCCAACTTCGATTCGGGCATTAGTGCAATCTCCGGCGGTCTTGACATGCAGATCGAGCATCATCTCTTCCCTATGCTGAGTCGCGTGGCTTTTCCTTGGATGCTTGTGACGGTGTGCGGCATAGCCAGGTGCTGAGAAGTTGATCATGCACAACCAAGGTTACAATCACCAGCAGGCGGTGCAGGCGACCATCAAGGAAGTTGCCGAGGAGCTGACTAAAGCTTCTGTCCCTTTGCAGATGCTCTAAACATCTCTAAACCCTAAACCCGACACCCCTGGCTCAGGAGTTCGGCCTGCCTTACCGATCCTACTCATCTTTGGGTAGCGGGCTGGTCAAGCATCTTGAGTACATGGTGGAGCTTGGAAAGGAGCCGGCCGAGATGTGATTCATTCTAAAAGGCAATGCAAAGCATTGCCACCTGAGAAGGGTGATACCGCCCAAACAGGGTGATGCCACCCGAATAGGTTAAACGAGTCTTCTCTTCTTCCCAACTGTGGAAGCAGGCACTAATCATCTATCCCTGTAGATGACCTTGCAAGCTCGTGCTGTCCCGGAGCACAGGTCGTGCAATGAGCACAGGTCGTGCAACGGACGCAAAAGCCTTTGAGACCTGCATCCGCCAGCGTAGCACCCAAGCCACACACATAGCAGACGAAGATCAGCAGTACCTTCAGTGGCCACCTCTCGCTGACAGTCTGACGCCTACTTCTGACAGGAACGTCTCCTCTGGCCTCGGCTTCGATCTCAAGTGGGATCTGGGCTGGATGAATGCTCCTCGGAAGCTGAGAGGGCAGCTGTGCTAGTAGGCACTAAACTCCCGAAGCCCAGGACACACTCATCTACCTCGAGGCTGGGTAAAAATATCCGGGTTGTTGCGTGCTTGGCATTCCATTTGATCTCAATCTCGGACACCTACAGGAGCCGGCTTGGAACAGGCCTTCGAATCACAGCAAGCTCACCTTCCGATCTCAGCCCCTTGGCATTTCCGCCCGGCAGTGGTAAAGCCGGCAAGTTTGCCTGGTCGCCGATCTCGCCTGGCGGGAAGGTACATGCAGAACGAGCGCTTCGTTTCGCCCCTGTCCCACGACGAGGTCAGGGGTGCAGGGGGACGGCGGAGAGATTTTAAACCCCCGTAGATCGACTCAGGTGGCGAACATGAAGGGCAGCTTGGTGGAAAAGATGGGCCGCAAGGCCGGGTAAAGGGGGTTTCTGAAGGCTGAGAACTTGGGAGTCTTAGGAGCTTTCCAGGAAGAGGCTCCGCAAAGCTCATGCTCCCAACATATCCACTGATTCTCGAACTGGAATGCGCAACCCATTCTGTAGCGGCAGCGGTAGCGTGCCCAACCCTTCCAGGATGGACTTGGCTTTTACGACAAGTTGCGCTTACTCTGCGCCTACTACGGCCCCTTTGCCGGGAAACAGGGGGCAGATGATTAGATGATGAAGCTCGGTCAGGCCATAGATCTGCCGGTGTTGATGGCTCAAGAAACACAGCAGGCAGATGCAGGGGCCTGCTTTCTTCTGCTTCCCAGGCTTTCAAGCCACGGCTCCTGGGCGCCCGCTGCTTTTCATGGGCCCCTTGCCTGGGGATTCGGGGGATTTTGGCTTTCTTGCGTGGCCCCATGCAAGGACAGGAATACGGCCAGGGTCGCGAGTGGAACTGCTACCAGTCTCTCGACTGGCACGAGGGCGAGGAAGATCACAGAAAAGGACCCAACTCGACCCAGCACAATACCGTGAAAGCCCTTCTTGATCCTCATTGTATTCTTGGGGCCCGAAGATGGGTTCTCGGGTCGGGTCACCCCCTCAAGCCTCAGCACCGAAGTACTCTATGCTCCCCCGTTAGGGCAGACGACCATGGGCAGGAGTTTGCGTTTGGCTCGCAGACCTCCTGGGAGTCTATCAGCACCACCGTGCCTATGCCGCAGTGCTGCCACCACGTGACTTTCTGTTCCAATTCTCCCTTGGTTCCTGACCTGTTGCAATCTCGCGAGGTCCTCTTCACATGGGAGACGACTTTCCGCAGACCCGGCAATTTCCTATTGGCTCGATGAGCTTTGAGTGGGCGGCCGGGCTCAACGAGAGTTGCGGGGCCTTGCTTCAGTTCGACATCGTCGTCCCGTGCAGGATTGCACAAGACCGTGCACACGAATTTGGAACCGCATGTTGTCACATCCACCAAAGCATGGCAGTGGTTTCCATTGCTTCCATGCGACTAGGCCGAGGCTGACTTGGGCTCTGCCAAGGTCGAGAACAACGCAGGCGCCTGCGTTCTCGCTTTCTGCCGACACTGGAAGGGAGAGAGACCTGCGGCTTGGCTGTAAGCTCGGATGCTCGTCGGGTTGTGATACTCTCAAGACACCTCAAGACCATCAAGAATCAAGACCATGCAAGCTATGGTGGCTTCAATGATATCAGGTTGCCCCCAGTTTGATGGCAATCCTCACTTTCAGTCCCATTGCAAGGTCATGGCCATCTTCAATTTCGGCAGCCAGTATCACCATGGGTATACGATCGGTGCCCCACCACGCAATCTGTGCGCTGTCAGAGCAAGGTGCCTGAAGCCCGGGGCTAGTACTGATTTCCCGAGCAAGTGCGGTATCAGCTCCGCAAGTGAAATTCCGATAGCAAACCGAAGCTGGTGATGCAGTGGGAGTCTGCGCCTGAAGCCCAGGCAGCCCCTACTGGGGAGGCTTGGTGCTCGTGCCTGCGAAGTTTTCCGGGGGGGGCTTGAGATCCTTTGAGCATCTACCGCAGTGCCGATGGGAACTTGGGCCTTGCTGTCATGACTGCCTTTTGCGTTTCCGCCAGGCTGGCAGGTGCTCCTAAACTCCGACGACCGCCGCTATGGCGGCCGCGGGGGCGGGCCGGGCAACTCGAGCTGTCTCTGGACCTCCAAGTCATATTCCGAAGCCTCCGACTCGCATAAGAGTTCAGCAGATCTGCAGGACTGGCAAAGCACGATCCGACTGCTCGGATTCGCTGACCTTGGATATCCCATCCAATAGGCCTCCAAGGGACAGTTGGAAACATTCCAGTCTTCGGGCAGTGAGTAGCCGGATGCTTAAGCTTCATTGGGTTCCGGATGGATACTGATCTAAATGCGGTTGCATGGTGTCGGTGAACCTGTTACCGGACCAGTTTCCTCTTCTCCCTGTCCAGTTGCCTCGTTCTCTTGGCCCCGGAGAACTTCGAAGACTGCAAGGCTGGGCAAAGGAGCGTCACACTTGGCTAACAGTCTGGGCCGCAACATCCCAGGCTGTTTTGTTAAGGCTCTGGCCAGCCCGAAATCCCTGCACAGCTTGCTCCGGCAAGATACTGCAGTGCACGCTGCGCAGGCAGTGCGCCAACCGGTCGGAATGAAGGGCACGGCCGACACCATGTGCGCAGACATCGAGAATCTTGCCTTGGAAGCTACCAAGGAGCAGGGGAGAAGCAGCAGCTTGAAGGCTTTCTCCAGGGGCGAGTCGACTGAGGTATTGCCTTGGCGACATCGGCTTCTGAGACGATGCCGAGCAGTTCGGGAATCAAGGGCCCTGCGCACAAAACAGAGCTGAGTGGCTCGGTGGTCTTTATGTGGGCAGAGAGCCGGGACATTGTGCATAGCCTTCCATGTGACTGCGACCTCCCGTCGGGGACGTACAGATGCGTTATCTGCAGAGCAGACACAGCACGCACTCGATCGCAGAATGCATGGTTTTCCTTCGCCTCGCAGCATCCGCTTCTGTCATCTCTAGGAAGGGCTCACGAAGAGCACAGCCAGAAGCTGCCGTGCAGCAAGTATGCATGAACGCGCACATGCAAAGGCTCATGTCCGGACGTAGGAAGTAACGAAGTGCGTGGAGGTCGTGTCGCTCAGTTATCGAATATGAGTTCTGCACGCATATCGCGTCGCATCGCAGGTTTCCCAACCTGCGACATGGAACGAACTTGACTACCACACAAGTCCTCGCGCACATTATCCAACAGCCCCCGCAGGAGCCCCATTGTGTCAACACTTCATCTTCCCCAGATTGCCCAGCCGCATCCCGCACATCTCGCTTCCAAAGCAACTTCTCGCCCAGTTGCCAACTTGAAAGAGGAAGCCGAGGAGAGCCCAATGCACATTCAAGGCAGAACGGAACACAGGACACACACTCAGCAGAAACAAGCTCGTGGACCAAATACTCACTGCACCCAGGTACGGCCTCCCTCGCTTGGTTTAGCACTTGTCACTATTTGTTTATGTAGTGCGCAAGAACGCACAAGAATTACATCCAACTTGATCGGGAACGCAGCCCAAACTTGACAGACGTACCGTTGATGCTTGCAGCAGTGTGGTGAACTTGGTTCCGTGCGCGCGCACGTCAAAAAGCGATGCAATCATAAAATGCAGCCTGCAATCCTAAGTGGCTTGGTGGATACTTCAAGTCTTCAAGTCCCTAACATGGGGAGATGAAAAAGCAAGGCAGGCTGCGAGGCTTCAACTTGCGGGGACCTGAGGCACACGAGACTGTGCTGCTAGGGGCGTCTTTGAAGCGGGAAAAAGCAAGCAGCGGCTGGCCGACGCTTGAGATTTAGCCGGTTGGAGCTGGCGAACGCGAGCTAGTGATCTGCTAATGCTAGGCAGCAACTCTGGTACCAACACCGCGGAAAGAGGAGGCTCCTGGACGTCTCGAAAAAGGGCAATCACCTTTTCAAACGAGACGACCCGTCTCCGGTTTTCCAGATGGGCAGCTTCCGTGAGTTCAACCCAAGCTTGAAACTCCTCTCCACGAAGCTTCCCATCTTTAACCAGATTACCCGGACCCTCCAAGTACCTTCAAAAATAGGGGTATATGGTCCCAAATTCAGGGTATTTAGGGTCTTGAGAGGGTAGATGGAGGGTCTAGGTACACGAGCTGAGTCACCGACTCCTCCAGCTGCTGGCGCAGCGCAGAGCAGTTCGTGCTTGGGGGGGACCCGCGCGGAAATCAGAAGTCAGCAGCCTGAAGAAGATCGCCTGGTTCGTGGACGCTTGTGGATAGGTCATGGAATCATGGACTATTATTGAAATATCTTGAAGTCTTGTGGCTTACGATTCTGAGTTCTGCTTCCAGAAATCAGAGGCTGGCAAAGCACCGCCGCACCCGGCATGCAATGGAGACAGTGCGTCATCCGAGCCGGTGCGAGAGGAGGGTTGTCGCGATCTCATGCACGCTCTCAGGGGCGCATGCAATAGCCCATCCAGTGCATCATTCAGAACAGCCGATCGACATGGGAGGCTTAGGAGTGGTGTCTTTGGTCCTCGTGATCTTCAGGACCCATTCCAGTCTTCGGCAAGTTTGTTTCAATTTAGACCCACCAGCCTGACTCTTCATCGCTGAAGCATTTAGCCGACCTCCAATCGAATCAGCAGATCGCTGGCAGGCCTTCGCCAAACAGGAGTCCCTCGAGAAGGTCAGGGCACCTCACACGCACAGAAGTATCCGGTCACAGCATACCCCCTCGGTATGGATCGTGAAACTCCTTGTTTCCCCTTGCAGCAGGCATGGTGAGGTGTCTAGTATTGTCTCGTCATGCAGAGCAGATCGGTATTTGGGCTGTAGCAGGATGTTCGTAGTTGTGCCACATCACGCTGGTAGAAGGGAATTGGAACGTGAAGCAGTGGGCCAATGCGGAGGAGCTGGTTGCACGCACTGGCTCGGAGACGCTGCAACATGAGGCGTGCGCTGACGGATTTGAAGGGCTGAGACAAGCTTTGCATGCTCCTTGCCCGCACAGTGGCTGGCACGCCATGGCACGCCTCTTACAGCAGAGCCACATCCCTTCTGCCCCAGGAGCTTGCCGCGGCATCGCAGCGCATCGCCGAGCTTCAGGAAGAGGCGAAGTCCCTGTCGAAGTCGTTCATCTTTTAATCCTGGGTTTTCATGCAGAGGCCGCTTCAACAGCCGAGCGCCATGCGCAGCAGGAGCAGGACTGGAAGGAGGCGAGCCAGACATGCCAGAGTCGTGGCTAAGAATTCAAAGAGATGTTCCCTTCTGTCTGAAGATTCCGTGTGTGAGGGTGCGTAGGCGAGTGCGCACAAGGCATGCGCAGCAAGCCTTCCCATGCACCTGATGCGCACACTATAGCTTTTCGGGAGAAGTTGCAGTTGAAGCATGTGCGAGTGAGTGGCTCACCCCATAGCCCGATGTTGTTGAGTCCCCACGATTAGGCCGCCGGGATGCTGAAAGAACGAAGCCGCAAGTTCAAGGAGCAGGTGCTGGCCTTGGATCTTTTTCCGAACCGGGATGTCAATCAGATCTCTCCAAATGAGCCTCCCGAAGCTCAGCTGAAGCACAGCTATTGGACCAGGAGGCAGCGAAGCTGGATCTCGCCACGAAGGCGGAAGAGGCCAGGCACTCCAGAACGTGTGACGCAGAGCCCCTGCAAAGTAGGTTCGATGGGTTCATGACTCAATGCGAGTGAAGAGGATATCGGAAAACAACGGGCGAAATCAGGAAAACACATTCGGAAAGATGGCGATGTCGGAAAACAGCCGGACAGACTCACACAGCCAGAATCAGAAAACAGCACAGACGCAATCAAAAAACAGAAGGGAGAACATCAGAAAAATAGGCGTAACCACCCCTCCATTTTGCCACAAACCGACTTTGTCTTGTTTTCTGATTTTTTATCGCCCTGTTTTCTGATCTGGTCCGTCAAGTTTTCTGATACTGATATGGTCCGCCACGTTTTTTGATTTTTCCTGCGTGCTTTTTTTGATTTCGGCTTTCCATTTCCGATTTTTGTTTTCTGATTTGGTGCGGTGTTTTCCGATATCGTTCGATCCGTTTTCGAAATTGTTTTGTGATATCGTCCGTACCCACTCCGATGCAACTTCTCCGTGACGTCGTGACCGTCCAAAGTACCAGTTGCCTTCGACCGTTCGAGCGTGACTCCAAGAGTGTGGACCCTGATGGGTCGGACACGATGCTCACACGTCAGTGTGGCTGAGGGCGGCTTAACTGTCTGGTGGCTTGCAGTTTTGTCCAGCCCCAGCTTGAAGCAATCCATGTCAGAACACCGACAGCGTAGAAAGGGCAGATATCAGTCCTTTAGACTGAGACAGTCGAAGAGTGTGAAGCCTGCAAGATTGAGTACTACCAAGGCACATCGCATGCGAACAAGCAAAGCTAGCCTTGCTGGCTTGAAGCTTCCTGTTTGCATCGGGCAGCACGTGCTCGCACCACCGCGAAGCCTTTGCCACGCTGTGGCCGAGCCTTCAGCCACGCAGGCTGCGAAGAAAGCTGCGGAAGAGCTGAAGGCGCCCCTTTCCTCGAATCAAAGGCCAGGGGCTATACTGTATAGGATTCAGATGCAGGCAGAGCTGGCGGCCAGCCTGAGCCATGCACAGTCCTTGGAAGAAGAGGTGCGGTCTGGGCTGGGGTACGGATTTCGGAGCTTGGGCGGCTTTCTAAGTCGAGTTAGCTGGGACTGCGAGGCAAGAAGTTGGACAAGGCTGCATCAGAAAGAGCCAAGTCCCACATCCGTCATTTCATGTCCTCTTGCTTAACCCTTCAGCTAGCAAATCAGCAGACTTAGCAGGCTTGGGACGCCCCAGCGTGGTCCGCAAGCCCTCTTGCCGTTGTCCATCTGCAACATGTCACTTAGTTCGGTGGACTATGTGCACAGAGGACGCAAAGCAACATCAAAGCTCCGTCGACTCGGCAGGTGCGTCGGTTGAATGCAGCCTTGGCTGGCCGCAAACTTAGCGATGGCTTTGGGGTGCCGCTTTTTCTGTCGCAATGTCCTTCGGACTGCCTCGTGCTTCGCTGCAGCTCAGGCACCATGCGGGAGGAGGAGGAGCGGCGTGCAGCGCAGAAGCAGGGCGAGGAGGCCCCACTCTCCGAATCTTCGGAGCGGATTTTCGGACTTCGGACCCCAACTCGTCGCTCTTGTCAGGAGCTCGCAGAGAGCCTGGGCGAGTTGAGGCGGCAGATGCAGCTCAAGAAGGCGCTGACGCTGCCGGCCCTTCCTTTTTTCTCTCTCAAGGTTCAAGAACACAATGCTTGGCTGTATTGGGAAAGCAGATGGGTGCATCTGGAGTCTAGACACATGTGCTACTTCTCTAGGCGTGGATGAACGAATGCTTTCTCCACTTTCCTTCGTAGGGATCGAAGGTGCCGATTACGTGCGTGAAGGAACGGAAGAGCTCGTAGTTTAGTTCCTGCCGAAAGGGGCAGAGGAATCGGTGTCAATTGTCGCAAGGAGCAGCTGGCAATGGAGCGGGAGCGCGTTGCTCAACTGGAGGCAAGGGGCTAGATTGACATTCATTGATTTCCATGGCGCAAGGCTGGCAGCTGAATTCCGAAAACTCACCCTACTCCGGTGTTGGGGGCTCGCTAGAATGCGGATTTAAGAGCAGCAAGTGGTGGACTGACAAGCTTGCCGCATGAGGGGGAGGAGGAGGCCAGTGCGCAGTTCATTGTCTGGCTTCCTCGACCCTAAACCCTAAACCCTAAACCCCCAAACCCTAAACCCCTTTTACAACGGGTTCCAGG